GTCAAGTCTCTGGTCCTAATTAGGCCCTCACGGACTACACTATGCTGACCTCATTCATGGATGCCACTCTCATCTCACTGGAGCTCTGGATCTCCCATGCCGGGTTCACCACCCGCGCATCCACCCTTCTCCTCCCATTTGGGTGCCAGGCTTATTCCTTACCCTTCTGAGTTCCAACATTCCATGCCAACAGCCTCTCCTTATGAAAACTTACCACGTTCTGTCCCCTAAATAGCTTTGGACTCAAACCTTCAGGAAGAGGAAGGGAAAGAGAAGTATATAAGTGTTGCACTATATTTTTACAATATTAGTTCTTGAGTCACATGAAATAATTTACACTGTTTTGTAAATAATGATATAGGAACCTGACTTTATTTTTAATGGATAACCAACAAGCCCCAAAGCATGCATTGAATAATTTATGTATGTTCGATAAAAATATTATGCTAGTCATAAACTAACTTGTACTATGTATGTTTGCTTTTGCAGTCTCTTAACTATATATTTCAGTATTGAGCTTTTTCATTTAATGGGGATAAATGACATCTTAGTCAAGTTTATAAGATGAAAATTTTCAAACCTTTGATACCTATTGGTAAGGTCTTATAGTATCCTTCACATAGGCTTTGTTCATTACTTATTGTTTTTTCAGATATTTTACAGTTTTTCTTATTACTAATGATTTCTTTTTTCTACCATGTTTCAAATGATGCTTAAGAAATAAAAATTCTTTTGATATTTTTGTTGATATTTCAGTGTACTATCTTCTGAACCTTGTATTAATTCCAATAATCTGTCATTAATACACTTGAGTTATGTATAAATTGTGTAGGTTTTTTCCATTCCAATGTTTATACTGTATTATTTGTTTCTCTTACTACATTAGCCATTAAACCTGTATAGACTGAATGCTAATACTAGTAGTATCATTCTTCATCTTTATCTTTTGACTTTATTAGTGTGAATTCTTCTAAAACTTTATAATTAAGTATGCTGTTCAAGTGTATTTCAGTAGATTTAAGTAGATATTCTTCCTTTTCTTCCTTCCTCCTTTCCTCCTTTCCTCCCTCCTTCCTTTCTTCCTTCCTTCCTTCCTTTCTTCCTTCCTTCCTTCCTTCCTTCCTTCCTTTCATTTTCTTGAGACAGGGTTTTGCTATGCAGTTCCAGTTGGCTTTGGACTCACAGCAATCCTCTTGCCTCAGCCTCCCAGGTGCATGAATAGCAGGTGTGTCCATCATGTCTGGTTCTGGTAGATACTCTCTATCAAGTTAAGAAAGTTCTGGGTATTTATAGTTTGTGAAGAATTTTTATGACTGGAATTAAAGTTTTAGCAAAAAAAACTTTGTACATCTATTGAGATAAATATATGTATTTTCTCCTTAATGTAGTAGATTCCATTAATAGAATCAATATTAATTTTAAGTTACAAAAGTAGCATATGAACACAGTCATCTTATAAAAATGAAAGAATTAGAGAGATGGGGAGATTGGAGAGCTCAAAGGATACAAAAATTCAATTAGGAAGAAAGTTTAAATATCTATGACTATCGTCATGACTAAAGATAACAAAATATTGTATATTTGAAAACTAAGTATATTTTAAGTAGTTCAATCACAAAAAATATGAAGTAATGTATATGTTAGACTTTTATTTATTTATTCATATACCAAAACATAAACCAAACATGTTGCATACTGAAAATGTGAAAGAAAAACTTGTTGCAAACCAGTTATGTTAAAAATCTATACACATCAAAACATGTTGCACACCATAAATGTCAAAATTTTAAATACAAAACCCAGAGATTTTCAAAGCACATTAACTATTTTTAACAACTACCTCTACTTCTAGTATTCAACCCATAGTGCGTCATGATTATTATATTTTAGTGTATCTATTTAAACGACTATATATAGTATGTATATGTGCATGTTATTAAATAATATCGAATGTAACTTTTTTGTTCAAAATGTATTTGTAATCTTTTTTTCTTTTTTGTACTGGGACTCAAACTAATGACCTCACACTTGCAAGGCAGGCACTGTGCCACTGAGCTATATCCCTGGCTCTGGTAATCTATCTTTATGAGTACATCAAGATGTCTTTCATTCCTTTTCAAATGCTCCTATATAGCTATCATATTTCATTTATTCATTTCCCAATAGAAGTACATTTAGATTATTTCTATTTTTCACATTCTCAAACAACACTGAGATGAGTTACCCCATAGATCTCTTCTACAAGTGTTACTGTACTTTAGGATGACATCTTGTATTCTTAAGACTCTAAGAAGTTTTAAGTTTTTCTGAAGATCATAAATGGGTATTGAATGTGTATTGTTTAATATTTCTGGTTTTCTAGATAGTTTAGAAATATTTTTCAAGTCACAAATAAGTGTTCAGTTTGAGCACATGAACATAACTTTTCTTTTAGCATTTTTTTAGTATTTCTTTTAGTGGTAAATTATAATTGTTTCCTAGTCTCTCTCTCTCTCTCTCTCTCTCTCTCTCTCTCTCTCTCTCTGTCTCTCTCTCCACAGGGATCTGCTCTGTAGTCAAGGCTAGGCTTGAATTCACTATGTAGGCCAGGCTGGCCTTAAACTCAGGGCAATCATCCTGCCTTAGCCTTCCAAATACTGGTATTACAGGCATGTACCATCATGCCTAGCTAGTTTTCTGATATTGAAGTAACTTTGTACTAATCTGACAACCCTAATTAATCATATCAATAACACTGAATTCAATTTTGCCAACAAGTTAGGTAAAAAAATTTTTTATCTAGGTTCATAAATGTAATTGAGTGGTAGTTTTCCTTTTTTGTAATCTCCTAGCTCAGATTATAATAATAGAGCTTTATAAGTTTTACCAAACATATCAGATATCTTTCTATGTTTTCTAAGTACTGGAATAATGACTATAAAACAGGATATGCTCTTTGAAGTTTGGTGTTACTTGTCCCTTAGCAATTGTTTTTGTGTAATTTAAGTCCTCCACATCCTTTTTAAAAAAAAAAAATCTACCTGAGGTGCCTGTATCTGCAATGTATACATCTACTCTAACTACAAGTGGTTAAAATTTTCTCCTATAATTCTTTTGATAGTAGGTTAGGCTATATTTTTCAAGCCCTTAACAATTCAGTATATATTACATTTGTAGACTCAAACATTAATATAATTTCTCTTTTAATGCTTTCATCTTTAATTATAGTCACAAATCAAATAATGGTATTTTGCTCAGTGGTAGGCCATGTATATGACACTGGTCCCATAAGATTGTATCATTGTGTAAATACACTCTAAAATTTTAATAATCAAACAATAACCTAACAATGTATTTCTCAGAAGATAGCCCGATTGTTAAGCAACACATAACTATATATCAACACTGCCATGTTGCTTTTCTTTGATTACCTACAATCAAGATTTTTAGTACAAGCTTTCTACATCGTTTGAGTCTGCTTGTGGTAAATTTCCAATTGGATTTTGTTTTTAAAGCAAACTGTCTTAAAATTTATTAGTAAAATTAATCCATTTATATTTATTGTAAATAGTGATATTTGGACTTCTCTCATTTTATTGTATCATACTTGTAGTTTCTTTTGCTTTTCTTATTCCTTCTGGCAGTTGTCCCATTGGGTAGATTCTCTTTTTTTCCTCTCCCCCTTTTAGTGATTTGTAAATTAGAAACCAAATTTGATTCTTCAGTGTTACCATTACCGTTAAAAACTTAACATTGCAGTATTTGGAACGCATATTAACATGAAAACTCATAATTTATTTGTATTGTACAATCAACACATTTCTGAACTACTTCCGACTTTTCCCATTTTCATTCTTGTAAAATTGGGAGTATGAATTCCACATTCATCTTAAGGATTAAATAATTTTATGTCAACATCAGCTTTTATTTAAATAAATAACTTCAATCCCTTCATTTCATTTCTTCTTCATTCAACCAAGAAATTTTTGGTCCAGTGCACCCAATCAGCTTTTATCTTCTTTGTCCTTCAAAGTCACCTCTTTCATATCTTTTACATCATCATGGCCTTCATCTGTTCTTTCAATTTCTTTGTAACTTTCTGGTTATCTTTTCATTTCCCTTCTTTACATTAAAAAAAATTACATTCCACCTTGTTCTGAATGGCCTTTTTTGCTCCAGATTTGATGAACACCACTTTACTGTAACTCCATGCCTTTCTTCATTTATCCTTCAAAATGGCGGACTTCAGGCTTCACGATTAACACCACGTGCGCCTGCGCCTCCCGCGGCCATTTCACCCAGCAGCCCAAGCTCCTGCGTTTGCTCAGCGAAGCGCCTGCGCATGAGCCTCCAGAGCACAATTGCTCCTCCCTCTAGTTGAGTACGCCTGAAACCGCACGTCCTCTTTCCTTCCCTCCCCCGCTGACTCCGCACCGCCCTCACCCCTTTCCTGTGAGATTCTTCCGCCAAGTGGAAGGCTCATCTTTGGTCGACAGCCTACGCGCTTGAGGAGTAATCCAATAGGCACTTAAGGCCCTGGGTCTCCCCATTCAGTATTAGCTATGCGCCAGGGCAATTTCCCTCCGGGCTCCAAAGTTGATACCCGATTTTGTGGGACTTTTTTTGCATATAACAACAAACGGAAAGAATGGGACGGTGGCGGAAGGATTTCTCGCTTACGCTCTGTGTACTTTAACCTAATAGGGGTCGCCCGGGAGTCGGAAGGGGGAGGGGGAAAGGGAGGAGGTAGCCAAGGAATTGTTTTTTCTCTCGCCCCGCCCTTGCCATCCCGGCCAATAGTGATGAGGCATTTCTCTAAGAGCCTCGCCCAACTTCTGCGAGTCAGCCAATAAGCAGCGGAAGCGGCTCCGAGGGGGCGGGCCCGGGAGGCAGTGCGTGTCTTGTGAGAGCTCTTGAACCAAGTCAGAGCTAGAGTCGGCTGGGCGGCTGGGAACGGCGGCTGTCGCCGGTGACTCAGGGAGGCGGGAGGCGGGGTAAGAGCGCCGCGGCCTCGGCTGCGGGGAGAAGAGGAAGAAAGGTGAAGGCGCGGGTCCCGCCGCCCCCGCGCCTTGGCGTAGGCGGGGGTGAGGCCCCCCGGGGAGCGGGGTTCGTTTCAGTTCGGGGCGGGGCAAGTGCAGAATCGAGGGCTCGCCCACCTCAGCTCTGCCTCAGCCTCACCCACCCCGCGGGCTGCCTGGGGCGGGACCCGGCCGCCTGGGACCGGGCCTCGGCGTCGGGACGCCCATTCTTTTCCGGAGCGAGGGGCGAGCAGTTGAAAATCCACTTGAACCGTCCACTCCTGTGCGTTAGGCTGTGAGGTCCGGGGAAAGCGAAACTTGGTGGAGTGAGGGTCACGCGGCGCCCGGCCGTGCTGGGGGGAGCCGGAGGCTGGGCGGCGCGGGCTCGGGCTCGGGGTGCGGCGTCCGCGGGGCTCGCGTCCTGGGTGCGGGCTTGGGGCGCCGCCGCCGCTGCCGCCGGCTCCCACCAGCCGCCCCCAGCGCGTCTTGTTTTTGTGCTCCTTGCAGGGAGGAGCCCTTCCTGCCGGCGTGGAAACCATGGTGCTCACGCTCGGGGAAAGTTGGCCGGTTCTGGTGGGGAAGCGATTCCTTAGTCTGTCCGCGGCCGACGGCGGCGGCGACGACAGCTGGGACGTGGAGCGCGTCGCCGAGTGGCCCTGGGTGTCCGGGACCATCCGCGCCGTCTCGCACACCGACGTGACGAAGAAGGATCTGAAGGTAACCACCGGCTCCGAGCCGCGGCGGGGCCGGGACGGTGCGCAGTTACCTTGGTAACCGCGACCGTCGGCCCCCTTCCCTCCCTTTTTTGAAAAAGGGCGATCCCAAAGTTGGCATCTGATCTGAAGGTGCCGAAAACTAGACCTTGAAAGTCTTTGGAATGGTCGTGCAGAGCCGAGGTGGGTTTGGCCTGGAGTTCTTGGCTGCCCGTGTTGAATAATGGGCTCCGGGTTGTTGAGACACGCTTCATTAATGCCGGCGCTGTGCCCCGCAGGACTGTCTTGTTTATTTCCCCGAAGGGAGGAGGAGCATTGTTGTCGGTACTGGCATGGGCAAGTGGGTGACGTTTGGAGTCGTTAGGAATTGGAGGGTTGGGGCTTCGAAATGTGTTCAGATGGTTTTGGAGGCTTGTTCCTCATTTCTTCACCCAACTTTTTAAGAAAAAAACTTTAGAATTGTTAAAAATGAATGAGCGCAGAGGGAGGAGCTTAGCTCTGTTTGGGTCTACCGTGGGTCAGGGTAGGCAGGCGTGGGTTCCTAGTTGTCTACGAGGAGTGTAGGTGGGTGTGGAATGTGACCATATAAGGAGGGATGGGGTGGAGCCGCGCCATATATGGCGTGGCGGGGGACTGGCTTGGAAATGTTGCACTTGGGTGTTTGGGGGAGGGAGAGAAATGGGAACAAGTGCAGCCAGTGATTTTCAAAATCAGAATGACACTCGGAACCCTTTCCAGTTAGACCTTTTGACAAAGGGATGAATTCCAGTTATTGTCTCTAATAGAAACACGGGTGTGAAAGATTGTCTGGGAACAACCAGTGAGGAAGCCATTGTACCAACAAAGACTCCTTTGTGCAAAAATAACTGAAAAAAGATCCCTAACAAAGACTCCAAAGTGGTGATAACTTGAAGGAAGCTTGTCAGGACAGAAGCTGTTTCCCCCCTGAGTAATGCTTGTGTTCAGGATCTTACTAGGACACCATCTTTGCTTTTTCTTAAACTATGCTCACATAAAGGCTGCAAGTTTTAGTGTTGGCAGTGTAAGGTATGTTGCTGTTGGAAACACTGTTCAAACACTTGCAGGGTGACATTGGGGAAAGGGTCCGCTGAGCAGCTTTAAAGTTTCCACCTTGTGCTTTTGTCTTCATGCTGAGGAGGCATGAGCAACCATCTTCCAACTTCATGCCAGCTGCTTAACAGCCATGCTCTTAACTAATCCAGTGTTTTGGGATAGCTACTAATATTGGTTGTCTATCCTTTTTTTCTCTTTTTCTTTCTTGGTTTGTGAAAACAAATAACTACAGATTAGTTACTCTTGCCTGAGGCCACATATCCGGAAATTAGCATAGCTACAGTACATTGAGAGGTTTGGTTTATCTCTTCCAATCCATTCGTTCTTGTACCAAATCAGGTTTCCATGTGTCTAGACAGTGAGTTGTGCAGGGATGGCCAACTTCTTTGCTTCCTGCTAATAACTGTTCTATATAAGGTGAGCTTTGTGTATCAGATCATAGTTATAGTTTATTTCATATGTCAAGTAAAATTTTCTGTAGTACATTTGTGTAATCATATTTGAAAGGAAATGATACAGGCTTTGTAAACTTTAGTTTGTGAGCAGAGGCTGTTTCCTTCCTTTTCCATGATGGAATACTTGTTGGTTAGGTAGCTATTTAGGAGGTCTAAAACATGTATTCTTTTCTATCCATGTCCTCGCCTCCCCAAGCCTGAGAAGGAAGTGATACCCTCATTTTTCAGAATATGCAAGTAGTTTTAGGAGGACTTTCCTGGCTAGCTACTGTGGAGAGAGAATATGAACCCATGTTTTGCCATATGTTTTCACCACTGCAGTAAATGCCTAACTTGGAGACAACTGGAACTTCAAGAACAATGTTCGTTGTGTTGAGTTTTTTACCTTGCCTGCAGACTTTACAGTCCATCTTTTATGTAAGGAACACATCCTTTTCCTAATCAGGACTTACCACTACATTTCTTAGTTGAGTGGTAGATAAACTAATTGATTTCAGTTTGGGGTACATGTTGTATTCAACAGAAATAAACCAGTTTCAATAAGTGAGATGCAGGCAGAAAAACTTAAAAGACCATGTACATCTGGGCTTACTTATAGTCATTGAGGTTTTTAGGGGGGCTAGGATTGGAGGCCGAGTATGAATAATAAAATTCAGGTGATATGTAACTATTCTGCTAGTATTACAAATATATGTCTCTAGATCGGATTGCTTAGTTCAGAATAATATTAAGGAAGTCAAGGTTTGTTAACTTTGTTTCACCTAGGAAAAGTCTTAGACTTTGTAACAAAGTCACTCTGAGAGAATAAAAAGTATATCTAGGTGATTGCAGTGGAGTTAAGTTGAAGACATTGTAACTGTAGCTAAGTGATCAAATGGCTCTTATGTGGCAACTGCCTTATCCTCATAAGTATCCTGTTAGACTTGTTTCTTAGGATGGGAAACTGAGGTTTAAATAAGTTACATTAAATTGTCTAAGTTTATGTCCAGACCTTAAATACTGGGCTTTAATGTTTAGGGAGAAGGAGATCAGTGTATTTCATTTTGGCAGATTTGGTATCCCTAGTGTTGAGAGCATTTCTTGGCATGTAATGTGCAATTATATATGAGTGAATGAATGAATGATTCACAGAATCATTTTAAAAACAATGTACCTGTGGAGCAGAGGCATTTTCTATGTCTAGAATATCAACAGACCTTAATTAAATATCGTTATAAGAATCTCTTCAATCTTCTTTTATTCCTAGTCTTTCCTAGAGGGTGAAGCAAGTTGCTTCCCATATGGCTTCATTCACCTAATTAAGGATGCTGGGGATGCCCTCCTTTCCTAGTTTGCCTAAGTAGGTCTTTATCTTCTTTTGACCTTACCTTTCCCTTGAGTCTTCTGCCTCTCTATAGTCCATTTGAGTGTATGTAGCAAGTAAGTAGGCTTTGCCGTCTGTGTGTGTTATTTACTAGTCTAGACCAATTCTAGTCTTGGAGAGTAGTGAAATTAGGGGTACTATGTTCTGCATTGTAGAGCTAGGGTACAGAGTTGATAGGTAGTTTAAAATTTCTTAACTAAAAACCATGCTATTCTATGTTTTCAATCTTTTGAACTTCAAAATGTTTTCTTTGGCATTTTGATTGTTTTTGTGATCATACTGAGATGAGATGAGTGCTAGGATGGTGCTAGGATTGTGCTAGGATGCAAAGTTTGAGCTCAGCTTGATCAATTACAACATTAAATCAGGTATCCAGAAGAGATTTTCTGTTGGGGGAAAATTAGTTTGAAGTAGTTAATTTGAAATACCGAACATCTCTGATCCACATAGTTGATAGATTAATAAAGTACACATTTACAAAATGCTCTTTTAAAAGAATAGCAAACTCCAAATGTAAAGCAAGAAATCATGATCAGTTGGCCTCTTCTTAATCTTAGTGTGGTCAGACAGCAAAAAATAACATCTCTTTGTAGGCCCAGGAAGCATGGCAGAAAGGATACAATGAAACTAGTTGATATAATGTATCAACTTGCATAAGCATATGGTCAAGGTACTTGACTTAAAAAAAAACCTTTTCATACCAGTGTGTGTAGGCTGTTGGGCAAATTGCTCTTAAATATAGAATCTCAGACCTCAAGACACCTGGGTGTGAGGGTGTGTCCAGTGCTGGGTATAACCCAGGGCCTGGCATCTGATAGGCAGGCACTGCACCCCTGAGTTACAGTCCCCACCATAGACATACATGGTCTTGATAGGGAACCTTTGAAAGAGTGTTGGCAGAAACCAACAACTTTTAGGTTATAGTATGTACATCTTTAGAGAATTATCATTTCACACCAAAAATCGCTGAGGAATTTTGATCATTACCGCCTTTCTAGGAGCCAAACTTTTTTTCAAAGCACTGACAAATTGAGTTATGAATCCAAACTTTGGTTTGAGTTACATTGAGCTTTAGATAGTGCTCTGCTAATTTATTTATTTATTTATTGAGAGAGGGACTTGCTGTGTAAGTTAGGCTGGCCTTGAACTCATGGGTCAGTCTCCTGGGCTGGGATTACAGGTGTGTGGCACCATGCCCAGCCTCCCAACCTCTGCTAACACTTGTGATGCTGCTTGAACTTTGACAAACCGCTTAAAATCTTAATCCTTCACTTTTTTTTCTCACATGCTGAATAAATATTATATAATAATGTGGAAGACCTTCTTTTAGTCACTCCTAACTGATTAAATGATATGCTAGTAAGACTTTAAATTATTTTAGAGATCTTGAAACGAATTGTCTTGCCAGATACTTTGCATGCATTATGTTTTAAAATTCTGCCTAACAGTTGTGGAGGTAGACACTAGTACTTTCATTTTGAAGCTAGTAAAATGAGACTCAGAGGACTTAGACTGCCAATTCATTGGTCTTCTCTCTTTTTTATTTAATTAAATTTTTTATCTTGTAAGACAAGGTCTCACCATGTTACCCAGACTGTCCTTGAATTCATGGTGATCTTCTTGCCTCAGCCTCCTGAGTGCTGGGATTACAGGCATGTGCCACCATCCCTGATATTCTTTTAATTGTGTTTTATGCATATAAAGTCATAGAAGCATCAACATAGTTGGGAGTCAAGCTAGCTCTTGCTGACACTAATAGATACAAAAACTGGTATCAGGCTAAGTTGGATTTTAGGTTGGTGTGAATACAGGGCAGAAAGACAAGTCAGTCTAAGTGAGATGTGGTAAAACCTGAGTTCTGTTACCAAGAGGATGGACAGTCCTTGTACACCTTGTGAGGGATCGTTTGGCTGGTTACAGTGATAGATAGAGGATACATGGGCAGGGGTTACAGGTCTTTACTTGGTTCCATTTGTTGGCATTTAGTGAGAACTATGAAGTTAAAAGAAGTTACATGGGAAGCTGGGGATGCACATTTTTTGTGGTAGAAAGGTAGAGTGGATCTTAAATTAACTGACACACCCCCCCCCCAGTTCAACCATTGGTTAAGGAAGTAAGGGTGTTTTGGGTACATGTATCCGACCTATAAGGTTTTGTAAACAGTTCCCATCTTTGGGTCACTGCTAGAGATCTACTTATGTGCTGATTTTCATTTACATTTTACTGTATTCATATAAATTGTAAGGGTAGTAGCCTGAGAGTTAAAAGGTATTCTGCAGAACCACTCGTGGTGGTTCACACCTGAAATCCCAGCACTCAGAAGGCTGAGGGAAGAGGCTGGCCTGGGCTACATAGTGAGTTCAATCCCAGCCAGTACTGCATAGCAAGACCGAGATCCCCACCCCGCAAAAAGTGGGTTGTCTTGTAATCACAAGTGTATCTGCATGTTAGAAGCAGGAAACATCACAGTTACTTGGAAACCAATATTTTAAAGGTGGTTTAACTTAGATGGGTTGGAGTGAAGTTCAGTGGTAGAGACTGCCTAGCATCATAAATAGTCTGGGGTCATTTCTTAATTATTTATTTCTATATTTAATAGAGACAAAAGTAGTTTTGAATTCCCAACTCCTAGGAAAGTTTCCCCCTTCAATTGAAAGGCATGTTGAAGGTGTGTCATTTACTAGGCTGGGCTGAGTCCTTGGGAAATCCAGAGGAATTCAAAAGCAGGTGGTGGATTGTGGTGATAGGGGAGACATCTTAAGCCCACTTGCAAGGTCAACAGAATTACAATACAATGCAGTGGGGTAAGTACTACTTTTGGGTTTCAAATTTGTGTCTTCCACTTCCCAAGCTCACTTGTCAAATTAGCATATGTAAAAAACCCTTCAGAGAAGGAATTCTTTGGTTTCTGGGCTTTCCAGAGGTTACTTTCAGGGCACTGGCCTCAAAAACCCTGAACTTCTGCATCCTAGAGTAGTTTCAGAGCCAAAGCTTGGTCTGTATGTAGTTATTTTTTTGTGAGCTATGAAGGGAATTAGGAGACAGCAAATCTAGATAAAGATTTTGGTAGGATAATATAACTTTTACAACAGCATTTGTAGTGTTTACTTTTGTTAATTTTTCCCCCCAATTTTGCCTAGGTATGTGTGGAATTTGATGGGGAATCTTGGAGGAAGAGAAGATGGCTGGAAGTCTACAGCCTACAAAGGAGAGCATTCTTAGTAGAGCATCATTTGGTTTTGGCTGAACGAAAGTTGCCTGAAATTTCTGAACGAATTGTTCAGTGGCCCGCAATAGTGAGTAAAAGTGACTTTACCGATGAGAAAGAGAGCATTCCATCTGTTTTGGGTCCATATATGAGATAGGATGGAAGAGTCAGGACACCCGGTTGCCTAACTTGGCATGAGGGGTGGGGTTCAGTCCCCAATACTGAACCAAAAAAGCAAAGCGCATGCAGCATCTCTGCCAGCCCCACTATCAGCTCCTAAGTTCTGGGCTGGGCCCTTGGCTCTTACGGGCCTCATCGTCTTCACTTGAAAACAGGATTAGAGGTGGCATTGGGAATACCTGGGTTCGGGGTCAGAAATGAGCAGTCATGCAAACATAGCAATCTCTGGCTTGGCCCAGAGTTAGTGTTTAAGAAAATTGGAGTTGTGCGAAATGCACAGTAGTCTGGTGCATCGGAGGAAATGAGTGATGCCTGCAGCTGGAGAGGATAGTACAAGGCGTGTGGGCTGTGAATTGGGGCTTGTGGAGGGGAAGAGTTGTGTGTGTACAGATAGTGGGAAAGGCTGGGGGGCTCTGAGAAAGCTGACTGCATTGTGAAGGGCCTCGTGAAGCTAGCAAAGCTAAGATTTTGCCCACAGTGAGAACTGCTAGAGGTATCTGAATGGTACAAGATTGTGATTAAAATTTTAGTTTACTTTTTGTATTTTCTTTCCCAGCTATTGAGAAATTTCTAAAAATGCAGCCTTGACTCCCAGAAGAACATACATACCTACACATGTTTTTTTGGGAAACCATGAATCTGTAAACTCATACATTAATGACTCCCAAATGTGTATTGAGTTTGAATAAAAACTCCATGATCTTGGGGCTGCATAGTTATGAGATCCTTAACAGTAAATAAAATATGTAATGGCTTTGTCACTTTGTGTGGAAAATTGCCAGTTCCTGTTTTCAGAATAATGCTGGTAACAGTTATGATGCCAAAAATATTTTCTTTTTCTTTTGTTTTAGATGTATAAATCTCTATTGGACAAAGCTGGTTTGGGATCTATAACTTCTGTTCGCTTCCTAGGAGATCAACAAAGCGTATTTCTTTCCAAAGACCTTTTGAAGCCTATACAGGTAAGACATCGGAATGGTATTAAGCCATAAGAATAGATGCACATGTTTTTTCACATGAGAAGCAAAGTACTGATGTTAATTGTCCTCATTCAAATGTGTGGCAGAAAAGAGCCCACCCCATAAAGAGCTGTTGAGTAGCATCTTTCAGTGTTAGCCTTGGGGTTAAGGATATTCAGAGCTGAAAGGACAAAGATCCTGCAGTTGATTGTGTGTGGAAACAACTAGGTGATATAAACATAGTTTTTTCAAAATTGACTATCATTCAGAGGTGTGTGTACATACATACATGCATTTGTCCTTGTTATTCATGGAGTCTATGAATTTTTTTGCCTGCTAACATTTATGTTTATAACCCTCAAATCAGTACTCTTGATGGTTTATGGTCTTACAGTTACAGAATAGTAATAATTTGTACCACACATCCTCCCATTCGAGGTCAAATAAGGTGACATTCTTCTACTTTCTTGTTTAAGTTCTCAGGCTATAAACAGGTATCCCTTTTGGCCCTTATCTAGTGTTACACATGTGTGTCTAGTGACTTCACTGTTTTAAATGCCTCAAGCCTATTGCTAAAGTGCTGTCTGGACTTCATGAGTGCAGGAAGGCTGTGATGGGTCTTAAGAAATACATGCATAAGACAAACATTATTCAGCTATCGAGTTCTAGTGCTTTTGGCCATGAGTTCAAGGTTAGTGAATCAGCAAGAAATATTAAATAAGGCATCTCTTAGCAGAAACACACATAAGACAAGGTTATATATTTTTGTTGTGGGGTTTTTTTTTTTTTAAATTATTTCAGGGATTGAACTCATGACCTCATGCTTGCCAGGCAGGCACTTATGCCACTGAGCTAAATCCCTGGCTCCCTGAAGGTTATATATTGATCCATCGATGAAAAAGTGACCAGAATCTCCTAGGACTCCTGTTTCTCTCCAGATATAATAATAATAATGGTTCATCATTCTGTATTCACTGTTTGTGGCAACCTGTAAATAATGAGAATTGGCAATGCACATACACATTCTTTCCAACAACCTGTAGACTCCTGAGTATTGCTGGTATTTGATTATTTATTGCACACATGTTGAATGCCTTCAGAATAATGTTGCTTTTGTATTCATGTTCATCTTTTAGATACCATTTATGAAACTTAAAACTTTTACTCAGTTGTGTGTGACTTCACATCTCACTCTTCGTGGGGTGTAGCACTATTAAACCTGTCTATTTGCTAAAAGACACTTGGGGTCAATGGTCATTGGCTTGCTGCACCCATGTTGAAAAGTTCAAAGCAATGTCTGTTTGCATTTTTATTTGGGCATCCTGGAAGTCAGGGAAAATACTGTGTATAATGTGGACTGTATTTTCTGTTTGAAGTAAATGAAACAGAGGGTGATGATTTTGCTTTAGTTTCAGGTACAAGTTACCTATGTATGTTAGAAGAATGACTTGCTTCTAAGGACCAAGAATTATACAGGGGTGTTTTGGATATTTTGCTTTATTGAGTAGTGTATTTTTTACCTCTTAGCATTGTTTTCTGAATTTTCTTCTATTGTGTATGCAAGCTGTTCAGTTAAGGTCAGAGCTCTTAGTTTTGTTTCTTGAGATGAAAAAGAAAAATCTGGATGAGTAAATTTTTCATTTGTTCTCTGGGAGGGGAGTCATTCTTGGCCCTGTGTATCTATCTTACAGTGGTGGAAAGGTATGAAGGTCTTAATGCAAGGGCTTCTGTGTTAAGCCCTGTTTGTGCTTTGCCCTGCTGGAATTTGGGTTTGGCAGGTTATTCCTACAGACAGTTTCTGTATGTGTTCATCATGACTGGGTGTGTATGCAAAACCTGAAGACTACAGAACAGTGCCAAGAATGGAGCTGCTGCCAAGGATCTGAGTATTTCAAAACGTTTACTAGGAAACCTTAGGCTAGTCATTCAGATTTTCTGTTTGTCTCCTCCTCTTCTTTACCTTTTGTGAAAGAAGGCATTTGGAATTCTAGTTAGGTAAAATGAATCTGTGTCATATGAGTTGTTAACAATAGCAAGCGATGTGTATCTTAATCTCTGTCTTTTGGCCCTTTGATTTGGATCTGTGGTGTCTCCATTCCTAGTGTTGGGGATATAGAGTGTTTTTACTTGGATAGGCCAGCTTAATTTGTTTGCTTATGATTTTCCTATATCCAGGGTTATGTCATGTGTCATCCTATGCCTTGAGCCACTGTTGGTATTTCTTATGCTCCTGATTTGGGAACTTCACTTCAGTTCCTCTGTACCTGTGATTATATGATAGTTCCTTGGAGTTGAAATGGTCTGGGGCCAACAGTGACAAGTTAAGGCACTTTAACTTATTAAACTAATTTATCCAGTGTAATTTTTAAATGTTTATTTCCTTAAAATGTAATGATGGTTGATTTTACAGGATATAAACAATCTTCGGCTTTCCCTTACCGATAATCAGAAAGTCAGTAAGGAATTTCAAGCCCTGATTGTGAAGCATTTAGATGAAAGCCATCTGTTACAAGGTATGTGGGTGACCTGATGATGATGGTTAATGAGTTGATTGATGTTAGCTTGTAAGAAGTTAGGATTCAACTTTTCTTATTCTGTCATTGAAATTTATTATTTTAAAAATGTGAAAATAATTTTAAAATTCAAAACTCTGAAAAACTTTTCCTTCATTCTTAGAGTGCAGCTAGATGATTTAAAGGACTTAACACATTCTAAGTCTTTTAAATTTGGAAAGAAGATGATGCGAAACTAATAGAAGCAAAACAAATACTTTAAAAACTCATTTTAATGTGGAATTTGATGTTTGGTATGTCAGACTATAAAATTGATAGGGCTTTTATTTAAAATCTTTACCTTTTTGTTTACTGCTATTGAGGTTCTTATTTTCACAGTCATAAAATTTTTTAAAAATGTTTTTTAAATTTTAAAAATACAGCATTTCTTTTGGTTTCTTCAAACTGCACAGGAAAATGAGTTGGTTCTTAATGAATTATCGATAATTCTTGGTCTGTTATAATATTCTAGAATAAATATATTGCCAGTCTTAATGTAGAAGAAAGTGGAACTTACGATAAAAGATGTACATTTTGTTCCTAGCTTTGCTGAAATGTCTGTCATGTTAATAGCAGTTCTTTCAGTGTTTACTTTTGTCTATCGCATATTTTTAAAAAGATGCAGGAAAAACTGGAGATATAGAGTGCCTACCTTGTAAGCACAAGGTCATGAGTTCACTTTCTAGTTAAAAAAAAAAAAAAAAAAAACAGGTGCAGGAAAAGATTGTCTCAGGTAACAGTGCTAAAGGAGATGATGCAAACTGCTCTGCAACTTTTTCTCTTTTTAAGGTGACAAAAACTTAGTTGGTTCAGAAGTAAAAATTTATAGCTTGGACCCATCTACTCAGTGGTTTTCAGCAACGGTTGTAAATGGAAACCCAACATCAAAAACCCTTCAAGTCAACTGTGAGGAGGTAAAAACAGTAACAGTTGCATGTAAGATAACTTTGTGGGTGAGATAACTACAAAATATTTATCTTTCAGAAGCGTAAACCCTTTATAAAATGTTAGAGCGGAAATAGAAATGATAATTGTTTTGAAAACTGTAGCTGGGTGTGGTGGTGCATGTTTGTAGCACTGGGAAGCTGAGGCAGGAGTACTGCAAGTTCAAGCCCAAACTGGGCAACACAGTGATTTAGAGACCCTGAATCAAAATTCTAAGTGAGGAGGTGGGGAGAGCTGAGAATGTAGCTCAGGGTGAAGGCCCTCCGTTTCAGTCTCCAATACTGAAAACAATAAGAAACTGTTATTACTGTTGTGCCCTATTGTTATGTTAACAAAACTAATTTTCACTTCCCAAGCTTGTTTTAATTTTCCAGTATTTTTGTTTCATTTTTAAGATCCCAGCACTGAAAATTGTTGATCCATCACTGATTCATGTTGAAGTTGTACATGAAAACTTTGTGACATGTGGTAAGATACCTTGAAGAAAACCTCTTCTTTCTTTTTCCTCTTACATTAAGAGCAGTAGGGAAGCCAACTTTACTATTTTTATATATTGTAGGTAATCCTACAAGAATGGGAGGTGTAAAACGGAAGTCTTCTGAGAACAATGGAAGCTTGGTTTCCAAACAGTCCAAGTCTTCCTCTGAGGTAACCTTGATTTGTTCTCGTCACCATGTAAAGCTGTCTTTGGTACTGCATGGCCAGTCTCTGTTATTGGTCATACAGCTGTCCTTTCTGTCCTGTGCTGTCTTGTCTGCTCTTTGTGGTTCCAGATCTTGGCCATAATTTCTACACTCAAGCAGATGGAGATAATATAAACTTCTGGTTCACTACTTTTTGTGGAAAAGAATAGTTTTCCTTTTTGGTATATGCTGGGAATTCTCACTAGATGTGACCCTTTCACCCTGTGGGTGTGTTTTTGAAAGTAAATTGAGAGGTGCGTGTTAAATTGAAAGAACAGTGTGAGAAGAGGAAAGAGCCTTAGAATTCTGAGTTGATTGAGTGTTGAAGATAAGACCACTTTTTCAGAAGAGATGATTTGCCGTTATTAATTTTTGCCCAGAAAACTATAGACTTCTGTGACTGCCATGTGGGTTTGGGTGCCAGATTTAATTCTCTTGTGAAATAGTTCTTTTTTGAACCAAGGAAGCTAAGACTATTTCTTCTTTAGGTGAGTTCAGTCACTATATCTATTTGAATGCAAATAACTTTCACAGTTTCAGTAGATAAATGTACTTGTGTTACATGGACAGTTTCCTGCATTATAATAAAATCAAAAACGCCTTTATTGGCTGGGGATGCAGCACAATGGTAGAGTGCTTGGCCAGCATGTGCATCAGGCCCCAGCACCCAGTACCACCAAACAAAACTCCCCAGCTTTTCAATCCCATGCTTTAGGCTACAACTTATACTTTTGAAATCGACTGTGATGCTACTGTTCAAGACTGTCAACAACACTTGAGAAGGGACCTCGAGATCTAGGGGAATGAGGCAAGGAGGAACAGCTTGGAATGGGCCAGAACCCTAGGTTCTGGATAAAGGGTGCACTGACCACAGCTTGGACTGCAGCCAAAGCAGTCAGTGTACTATACAATGCTATGCCACTGCGTAACTAGATAGGCTGATGGGCTTTCCTGAGCCTTTGGCCTGTGGACAGGCAACAGGAGCCTTGACACTTTACCAAAGCTTTGTAAATCCTCCTGTCTAAAACCTGTTCTGCAAGCAGAGTTGGAGGCCCAGGTTGTTCAAGAAAGTGTAAAGAGGTTATTGTGGATTGTCTTTCATTTCTGCCTAAAACTAAGTACTGAATGTGGAAATACTGAGCACAGTGTGCTTAGGTGCTCGCTCCTGGAGATCTAGAGGTATTAGGTTTGCATCTTAAGGTACACATTTTCCAGAGGATCATGGTCTCTCCTGGGGGCTTCACAAGCTCTGAGGGAGTGCCCTGAGCAGGAAGCAGACTGTGCTGAAGCTTGCAGAGAACTTTTGCCCTAGCTGGAGCATAGCAGGTATGAGAAGAAAGAAACGCTCAGCCAGAGGTAGAAAGGAAGTTTGGGTTTTCTCTTACTTGGGTGTGGAGAGTGATTGAGGGTATTTAGGAGTTTTGAGTTCAGGAGGTTGGCTGAGCTGTGTAGATGATGAATGAGGGAAGGTCCTCGGAAACAAGCAAAAGGTCAGCAGCAGTGTCTACCATTAAGGGGCTGGAAGTGAGGTAATGATCTTGGGACGGATTGCTGTTCAGTAAGAGGCAGCATTGGCCTAACTTGGTGAGAGTCTAGGACCGAGGAAGGGGGGCGCTTCAACCTTGGTGGAACAAATGGAATGTCTGCTTCATACAGCAGTATAGTTTCCTTCCAAAGCTCACGTGACATGGTCAGGTGATCACGTATGGTATGGTGTAGTCGCCCAGTCTGGGGGGAACTGAGCTAGTGGAGGTAGAGGTTCTTCTAGAAAAAAATGGCTTTGGTAGGGCTCTGGGTAAGTAATGTAGCTAAAGACTGTACAGGTGTCACAAGTGATTGTTGCATTTTAGAGTTAAACTCAGGATGTTGCCAAGTAATGCACAGTGTTAGCAGCTGAGAGAGGGACGGTAAAATTACCACCTGTTGGCTTTTGATATGGAGAAATTGTTAGCCAATAGGGTAAAAGGCCATTTTGGTTGGGTTTGCCTGTTGATGCAGAAGGTGTCAGTGTCAGTGGCCAGAAGGATGACGAAAGGAGAGTTGCAAGATGGTATGTGGAACAGGAGTCTGGAAGGAAGAATGATCCTTCAGAGTATTGAGTTTATTAGCAACAGGAAAGGTGAGTGAACAAGTACCTTTATAACCTTCAAGGGAACGCTCGTAAAAAGTGGTAATGCATACATATATAATATTGTCCTCTGCCTGACTGCAACTTGTAGGGCAGGGAATATTTTAAAAGAAACTTTCTCAGGGAAGTAGTGTAAAGCAAAGAAACTTCACTTGTGATGCATTTCTCAGAGACTTTATTCACACTTTGGAATACTTCCCTCCTTTCTCTGTTTTTTGTTTGTTTGTTTGTTTTTTAAAGTAAAGGTTTTACTCTTTTGGAGTCTCCTTGATTCCTTTGTGAGCGTTTACCCAATCAGTATTCTTTTTCATCCTGGGAGATTATTGTAATTAGGCAAGTTTTGTGCGTGGCCCCTAGATTACAAGAGGGCTGAAGAGCTAAAGGAAGCAGGGGCTAAGAATGTGAGCTAAATGCAAATGTGTGAGTGACAGGTGAGTATAGTAGTGCCCTTGGCATGAGTCTAACTGCCCTCCTCCGATGGGTTGGACTGCACAGGATTTCTTTCCTGGTGGTGTTTGGAAGACAGGATTTTGGGATTAGGTCAGCAAGACTCTAGTGTGCTTCAATGAGTACTTCTGGTTAAGACAAACCTGTTTGCCAGTGGCATCTGGCTCCTTGAAGGTCTTCTCTGCCTAGCAGACTCTTCCTCAGAGTTACAATGGACGTTGTCGGTTAATGGGGAGAGTCTGCTGAGGGGCGTGAGCCAGCAGTGTCCTTTTTAGAATACTATCATACACTCAATTATATTATCTCCGTCTGCTGGCAGGGAGGAACTATTGCCATGACTGGTATAGAAGACCTTCAGGGAAAACCCTTCAGGTAAGAAGAAACTTTGACCCTTTGTTGAGTCAGAGGCTGGTGCAGAGGTGTGCACGTGGAGATGGGCTTGGGGATCAGAAGTCCTGTCCCTTTGGAGCTAAACCTTAGGAGAGTCGTAAAGGGAGAGACTTCATCTTTTAAAATCCCTAAGTATTTTTGATTATACCCCTTGGGACCTGACTGAAACTTTTGACAGTATTTTTAAGAGAGCTTATCTCTAAAATTGATGTTATTTTGGGCCAAGGCATGTATGTGGTAAAAGCCCTCTAAAGCATACTTTATTATTCTCATTTTATAAATGAGATTAATGTGTTGGAAGTGTCAGAGACTGAATTCAAATTAAGATTTGTCCCTAAAATCAAATGTTCTTAACCACTGTGCTGTTTCCATTCCTCCCCAACCCTTTCCATGGTATGGTGAATCTCCATCAGTGAAACAGCAAATTCCTTCTTTCATTCCCTCTGTCCCTCCCTCCCTCCTTCCAACAAATGTTTATGAATCTTTAATACGTGGGAGACACTGATCTTCAGTGGTGAGCATTACTGCTGCCTGTCTCTTCAGGTAACTCATAAGAATTATTTATAGCTATTTAAATCTACAAAGTGCTAACCATGTTCATTCATTTATGCAGTACTTTCATTCCACCAGTCTTACTTATTGAGCGTCTGGTGTATGTCTGGCTTGATGTGGCCTGATACCCAGTTCACTGTGAGGAGACTTGATAGTAATTAAGTAGGAGGTCCTTTCACAGTGTGACCCGTGCTGTGATATAACCAGAGGAATATGACAAAGAGTAGTTGGGGGCACTACTTTGGAATGAATAGTCTAGGATTCTGAGGAGCTGACATTTGAGCAAATGTGCAGGTGAATGGGAGGGACCAGCCAGCCTCTGCAGACTGCAGGCAGGGGGACTAGCAAGTACCAAGACTAGGCTGGACAGAGCTTCAGCTGCTTGAAGCCCAGAGGAAGCCAGTGTAGCTGGGGTGCTGTCTACAAGAAAGAGTGAAGTGAGATGGGGGCAGGGCAGTTGGCAGGACCTGGGCCACATGGGGCTCTGTAAGGTGATGGAGCACCAGGTTTTGTAAAGATGGCTCTGTGGTAGAATACATTCAGTAAGAGATGGAGGATGAGCAGGAATAGAGAAAGGCAGGCTTGCTAGGAGACAGTGGAGAACAGGAGAGAGTTGGTGGTGGTGTTGGTCCACAGAACAATGAAGAGATGAAATAAGTTCTTTTAAAGTGGAGGCAGGAGTTAACTGATTCATTGACTGGATGTAGGAAATGAGGAAGAGGGAGAGCTTTATTTTTTACTTGCACAGCTTGATGGACATGGTATAGATAAATATTTATGCATGACTTATTGTTCTAAATCTCACAAATGCATTACTCTTAGGGGTAATTTAAGGGAAAGTATTAGTGCATCAACTTTACACATATCCAGAGCAAGCAAGTGGGTAGATAGGTAATGTGTGGGGAAAGCAAACCTTGAATAAGCGTGTTGTGATGATTTTGCAATTAAACTTTGGGAGGCTAACCTTTAATAGGTGATTTCTGGAGAATTGTAATGAGTATAGCCTAAAGGGACCTTTTAGAAATAATCTAATTTCTTCATTTAAAGGGGTTGGAAAAAGATCCCAAGCATAGAGTCAACTCTGTTTCCCAAAAAGCCAAAACCAAATCAAACAGCAGACCTACATCATTTGGTAAACACTAAACTAATATTTTACAGAAATTCAGTTGACAAAAATAATGATCAGATGATTTCGTATTTAAAAAGTTTGAAGCTATGCCAAAAAGTTGATAGTGATTAACTCCTTTTTTTTCGATAGTTCTATGGGATTCTGTTTTGTTTCTTGAGACAGAATCTTGCTTTGTTGTCCAGGCTGGCCAAGAACTAAGATCAAGTAATTCTCCTGCCTCTCAGCCCCCTGAGATTACAAGTGTATGTCATTGTACTGGGTTGGTTTTCCACTTATTTCTGTTAGCTTATAATAATCTTTTCAAGTCTGCCAGAGTAAATGTCTAGGGTGAAAAAAATCTTAAGCAACATATAAGTATTTTTAGAATTTCAGGTTTTAAGTACCTACTAAAGGAGATTCTGCATTAAATTTTAGAAGTTAATTACTGCAAGATGAAGACACTTTGAAGACTTAAGTTTAGATTTGTTGACAAGGTAAAGGTCATGGCAGTGTGAAAGTGGTGCTAGAGGAAGGAGTGACTTGTGCACAGGTGCGGAGCCAGGTGAAGATGGCTGAACGGTGACATGTGTTCAGCCATGGGACATGTGGTTGTCTCTGTTTTCTCTTCCTGTTTACATGCGGGGAAGTTTATTTTTGTGGCTAGTACACAGAGTGGTAAGAAGTGTATTTGTATTTTTGTGGTGGTGAAACCACATGAAGAGGGAAGGAGAAAGGCTGTCCCCCTGTGTTCCATGGGCCTGTCCATGACTGAATATTTTTTGCAGCTTGGGGATGACCTTTGTGACTTGATGAGCCACATAAGACCAAGAACCGTGTCCTCAACCTTTTGCATTGCAAAGGCTTGTCTTGGTACCCAGTAGGCATAGGCACCACTGCCTTCAGGAATCGTATGTGGTCTGGTCTGCTGCCAGTCTGCGCAGTAAGTGCGTGATGGGCATTCAAGTCATGTCGAAATGAATGCATGTGAAGCTGCCTCCTTTAAGGCTGTCACTTAAAAGTTCACTTTGGTTCCTTGCACCATTAAAGTAATGGCTACATGTCTTTTCCCAGCACAATGACACATCTGAAAAAGATCAGCTTGTGATCTTTTACAGGAGTACTTAAGTTGCCTGAAAAGCTGAAGCAGTTCACAGCCTTCAGATATGAATATTTAATTGTGTGATTATCATGTATTTACTGTGCTGCTCTTTTTTATTTGGTGATAGAATAGTGCTTATTCAGTAGTTAAGCAGATCATCTTAAATTGTGCTAGCACTTTGTAATTTCTTAGACTTTCCCTTTTAATATCTGTTGGTTTGATATTTTGTAGGCTTCCCCCAGTGTGTGTCCTGTGCAGTCTGTTCCCACAGCAGTGTTTAAGGAGATCCTGCTTGGCTGTACTGCAGCAACGCCACCAAGTAAGGACCCGAGGCAGCAGAGCACTCCCCAGGCTGCCAATTCTCCACCTAACCTCGGAGCAAAAATTCCTCAAGGGTGAGTAGCACTTCATTAATAATGTGTGATCATAGCAATGAAGCGTTGTCGTTATGGTTCATTATTCCTATCTCTGGTTGCCAAGGGAAGTTTTTTGTACGGTTTTTCCAAGAGGAGAGATGCATCAGTTCCCTTCAGAGGAGAAAATGTAGAAAGCACATGAACAACATGGAAGATAGTGGAGAAGGGAAAGCGTGCCTTCTGACGACAGCGTGGAGGCTCAGTTGAAATAGCACCCTCCTTTGGAGAACAGGTGTCCGCTTTTAAGGAAGAGGGCACAGATTGGTTGTGTATGGCAGGCTGAGGTCAGTGGGCGTGTGAAGGGGAGACGTGGCCTCAGTGAGGGTTAACCTCGGTATGAGGGGACCTCATGTACAGGTAAGAAATGCTGCAGAAGAGGGCATTCTCAGACTAGGAACAGGAGTAATAGATGGAGGGGATGGCGACACTGTTGCTAATTTAAGAAGTGTCAGGTTTAACTGGAGGTTTAAAGGGGTTTGGAGAGAGAAGAAAGGCTGTCTTCACGAAGGGGCAGGGCCAGCACAGGCAGTTGATGAGGGCTTAAGAAATGGGTCAGAGAGACTTAGAGGAAAGAAGGTTCGGAAGATGGCCAAGGGTGGCAGGGTAGGTGAGCAGGGAGCTGCACTAGAGGAAAAGTGGGTCTCGGCGGATGATGAGACAGCAGACACTGCAGTGGCATCCTAGCCACAATTTCTAACCTGAATGTGTACCTGAGAAATTCTTCCTGTGAAACTCTGTGTCAGAGGCTGGGAAAAAGAAATAGAAACAGAAGCATTATGTTTTGGTGGGGAAGAACCCTAAGATGAATTTGGGAGAAACAAGCTCCTCAGGGATATCTTGAAAGATGTGGGAAAGGAAGGGTGTTGTACGGCCAAGTAATTCTCTATAAACGGGCGTGGAGTCAGGTGGGTATTCTGTTGGCTTTGGTCCTGACCACCCCTGGTTGTATGATGTTCATAGTAGCATTGGTGCTTTTTTTTTTTTTTTTTTTAATAAGAGAGTAAAACAACAGTAAAATGAAACCAAACAAAACAGTGATAGGACAGTAGGAAATGCACAATTGTACCATATTGTATATTGTTATCCTTTAAGTAGTTGCCCAGACTACCAGTCCCAGGCCCACAAAATCAATCAGATAACATAAATGTCAAGTTGCTTCCCTACTTCAGTTAGTATCATCTGAGCCTGTGTGTTGTCTGGTTGCTTAGGGAAAGGTGGGAGAGGCAGAGGCGGCTTCTTGCTGGTTCTCCCTGAGCAGCATAGGGTTTTACACTGCTGGTGGTTTATAATTAATTTTTAATTTACATTTTGTGTGACTGCCTTTGAAGGGATCAATCCACTAGTACTTCTAATATACAGAACATTTAAAAATTTATCTTGACACATTTGCCTATCATGAGACCGAACTTCTTAAACTTGGCAGAGATCAAGAATATTGGTTTCATTTTTGAAATTTGAATTTGATTTTCCTTACATAGGAAAGAGAATTCAGTAAAGGTTTTCTGAAATTAAAAAGAAGGAAAGAAACTATCGTATTTAGCCCTACCCAGGCTTTTAATTTTGACACTTTGAAAACCCACTGAGCTTTTTTTTTTTTTTTTTTTTTTTTTTTTTTTTTTTTTTTGTCTTTTTCCTTTTTATTGGTACCGGGGATCGAACTCACGACTGCCTGCTTGCAAGGCAGGCACTTATGCCGCTGAGCTAAATCTCCAGCCCCTCCCACTGAGCTTTTTAATTACTGATTAAGTTTCTTGGTTTCATGTGATGCTGTTTATTTTAAGGGAAAGCTAAGGTTCATTATGCTGTAAGAAGTAGAACAACCTGAGGTAGTTAAAGCTTTAGGAGAACATGCAGATAGAGTTGAGAGTTGTATCTTTCTGAGTGTTTAAGATACATTTGTATAGAATTGACTACTAACTTTGAACAGAACTCACAGAAACCTATCCTAAATTCTCTGCAATAAGCAGTTTCTTTTCCCTTTCATGCTGGTCGCTGTAGGGAACCAAACAATTGGTTTTGGATGCAAAGAGATAGAGGAGGCCTGAATGCTACTTTTTCCATATTATGTTTTTCAGCTGCCATAAGCAGAGTTTACCAGAAGAACTTGCATCCTGTCTAAACACAAAGCCTGAAATACTGAGAATAAAACCAGATGTCTGCAAAGCGGGGTTGCTGTCTTCAAAGTCTTCTCAGGTTGGAACTGGAGACTTAAAAATTCTGAGTGAACCCAAAAGTGGTTGTACCCAGCCTAAGACAAACAGTGATCAGGAAAAAAGATTGGAATCTATTCCACAACCATTGACTGGCCTTGCTAAGGAGAGCTTACCTATGAAGACTTCTAAGGCGCAGCTGGAAATTGCCAGTACTCCTGAACTGCAAAAGCACCTAGAACATGCACCTTCCACATCTGACGTTCTTTCCAATAAGCCAGAAGTGAAAGCAGGTGTTAATAGTGCTAGCACTTGTTCAGGAAACAAGGTGGAGTCTTCAACTTTAGGTTGCCAGCCACAGAATTTAAAGGAAACTTCAGTGAAACTAGACAATGAAAGCTGTAGTACAAGAAGCAACAATAAAATCCAGAATGGTAAGTGTTTTTAAGTATCTGTTTTGGTAGAAGGTAAGAAGTGGTAGATGTTTCTTGTCCTAATATGACTTTGTAGAAAGTTTACTTAAGCAGTATTAGTCAAGTGGATCCCTGCCAATAGTTTTACCCTATGAATAGGAGTATGTGTCTGTTAACATTTTTTTTTCCTTCTTTTTTGTACCAAGGATCAAGCTCACAACCTTGAGCTTGCCAGGCAGGCGCTTATGCCGCTGAGCAAAATCCTCAGCCCTGTCTGTTAACATGTTAAAGCTGTAAGGATTCTGCTTTATGCATTTACCATATGACTTAACTGATTTCTATTAGGTGGGTAATTGGATGGCTTCCAGGTTTTGATGGAAAGAAAATAATTTTTGTGATATTATAATGATACTATATTAGATTAGTGATTTGGTGATCACCTCTAGGCTATTGCTGATCTTTCTGTAACATCTAGGTTGGAGGAGAGGCACACATTATACTCACCAAGTAGCTTGAATGTGAAATTTTAAAATGCAAATGCAGAATCGCATCATCACTCTGGAAAAGGGACTTCTGGGTGAACAGGGCTTGAAACCCAGGCAGAGGCTCTGTTGTCTTAAGGCAGTGGTCCTCAGCACTTTCCCTTCTTGTAGGGAAAGTGATACTGTGTTTCATACAGCGTTAGAACATCCCTAATTCAAAAATCCAGTATGGGAAAGTGTTTCCAAATGTGAAACTCCGTGCCAGCATGACAGGCCAAGTGGAAAATTTTGTATCTGATCTCATGTGATGGATTGCAGTCAAAATGCAGATGCACTAAAAATGTTGAATCTGATTGCTTGCAACCTCTGCCAGTGAAGTATATATGAAATGTTACTGAATTTTCTGTGTAGATTTTGGACTCATCCCCAGGAGGTGTATATGAAAATACTGCAGATGCAAAGAATGGTTCACAAATGGCCACAAGTACTTCTGGCCCTAAGCACTTTGGATAAGGGATACTCGAGTTGTACACACTGGTATGTTAGGTTTAAGGGTTTACCCAGGGATGATAGTTACTAGAATTCAGAGAATGAGATGGCTTTAACACATCACAAGGGTCAGGGCTAAACTTAAAGCCTTGTTCACTTGGATCACTAAAACAGCGAACATAACCACACCAGCTTTTTATCACAGGCCTCTGAAACCAGAGGTGGGGTGGTTGGATTTGACTTGCGGACCTATTTAGAGTTGGAGAAATAGAATGCATATTTTTCTGTCTAGGGACTCTTTGAATCCAGCTTCTTAATTTTTGAGGCATCAGTTAAATAGCTATTAATTTTCATAAAATTAATTACATAAGATTAGAGTGTTCCTCAGGAGTTATGTAACTCCCCAAAGGAAGTGAATATTCATAATGATAAATCTGTTTTATTTCTTTATTTTTGAGCCATCAGCCATCACATTCAGCTAGCTTTGAAGCAAATCATTTTAATTTATATGAAGAGAGTGAGAATCCTAGCTGGGCAAGCACATGACAGATGCACAAGTCCAGCTTTGTCTCACTTAATCTGACGTGTGGCTGTTCCCCATCCAGCATGACTTCGAGAGAGAGGGAAACCCTGCTTGCACGCCCGCTGTCTGCAGTGGCTGGCTGAGAAGGGAGGGGACCACAGCACAGGATCTCTGAGCTGCACCCATTCATGCTCCTTGTGGGTACAGACAGCCTCCATGGAAAGGGACCCTGCTCCCTGGCTGCGTTTAGTGGCTAAGAACAAAACAGAGCTGGGTGGCACGGCCCCCTTTTCTGATTAGATAGATAAAGCAGTGGTGGCAAATCTTGTAAAGGCCTGGTGCCCAGACTGCAGCCCAAAACCCACTTACGTATCACCAACTGATAAATTTCCCCCTTTATTATTTATCACTGCAATTAAACTGAATACTAAGGTTTTAGTTTAGAAAAACTCATTTATTAACATTTTTTATCTTAAAAACACAGTAACACACATGCCATAGGTCTGTCACCCAGATAAGAGGTGTGGCTCCTGAGAGGTGGGCTCTCCTTTCTTCCCTGGCTCTGCTGCGCTGTGAATGAGGGTCTGTGATGGGACCCATTCCCACTCTCCTCACTGGAAAGCTGGATTTAGACAATTTAGCTTGCTTGTCTCTAGGTACTTTTAAGACAGGACACAGCAGATAAGATGACCTTTGCACTTTGCCTGTGGTTGGTGGGAACATGGTCCAACTCAAAGGATGATGTCTTCTATATCCAAGTTAGGTTCCATCTTTGAACTACTGATCTGCTTATTTTCTCTCCTTTGTCTTAACTGAGTAAGAATGTTTAAGGGATCAAAGACTGGCAGCCTTAGCTAGCATTGTACCATATATTTTACTCTACGTTAAGAGGGTAGACTAGGGAGGGGAAGGGGATGTAAAAAGAATTAAGATGTGTTCCATGCATGCTCCCAATAGCCATGATAAATGTAGTCATTATATACTGCAAACATGTGCTAATAAAAATCAGGGGTAAGACAAGATCACCTCTGATGTAATTTTGGGGGATGGGTACTGGGAATTGAACTCATGACCTTATGCTTGCCAGGCAGGTGCTTGTGCTGCTGAGCTAAATCACCAGCCCCTTCTAACATAATTATTGAGGATATTTATTTAAAACCTTCTTAGGTTTGAAATCTTTCTTCTGGTTTTGTACAAAACTAGGCTTTCTTACCTCTGAACGGATTCCCCAGAAGTTGTTTTCTGTTTGGTTCATTATTTCATCTGTCTGCCTAATACCCTGCTTCCCTCTACTCAGTTCCCTTGGACCCTGAGGAAAGGTCTTTTCTGTGAAATACTCCGTCAGCCTCTTGACTTAAGAATAGAGTCCCTTCTGGGTTGAGTGGACACCATAATTGGTCTTCCGTGTCACAACTTCTCTTTTTTCAACCATGTTAGCATTTCTTTCCAGTTCTGCTTTCATTGTGAGTTAAAACTTTAAACCTGAATTTATTTGGAATCTGGTCTTTAGCTGGTGTCCTTAAGACTGTGTGGACCATAAATACTCAGAAAATTGAAGACACATTGAAGTGAGGCATTTTTGGAGACATTTGGAAGATAGCTTTTGCTTCTTAGACCACATGACTCAGCAGGAAGACTAGTTGATTTTTATAATATTAAGAATGGTTAGTTTTTGTTTAGAGTTCTTTAAATAATATGCCTAGCCAGCTGTAGTGGTACATGGCCTACAATTCCAGCACTTAGAGGCTGAGGCAAGAGGATTGCTACTAGTTTGTGGGCAGCCTGTGGGCAGACTGGTGAGACCTTGTCTCAAAAAACCAGAAACTGCATCTCAGGCCATTTTCTTCTACATATGGAAAGTGGCAGAATTAATCACCACAAATGGAAGGCCTCTGCAGATGTGTGTCTGTGTCTGCGTTGTCCATCTGCAGTGAGTTTCAATAAGTGTCTCGGTTTGGAAAAGTCTCCTCGGGTTTTTCTCTCTGCCAGGGCTGTGAACGGAAGGGTTTGCTCACCTGGAACTGTGAGCCTGGCTGTTGAATTTGGAAAATCTAGTTGCCAAATGGATTTACTAAATGAGAAATGTAGAGAAAACAAAACATTTCCAATTGTTCTGATAATTATGTTCTGTTGAGCTGTGTTTTAAACATTATGACTTAAACCAAGAGTGGAGGAGGGGTTTCTGTCTTTGGGAGCACTGACTTTTTAATTTAAACTTCATTCAGAAGTTGATGAGATGTTCAGAAACTTGAGCTTCTGTTTCCTTCATCTTTTGTTTTCCCAGCCCCAGCCCGGAAGTCGGTTTTAACAGACCCTGCGAAACTCAGGAAGCTGCAGCAGAGTGGCGAGGCCTTTGTACAGGACGATTCCTGTGTGAACATCATAGCACAGCTGCCCAAGTGCCGGGAATGTCGCTTGGACAGTCTGCGCAAGGACAAGGAGCAGCAGAAGGACTCACCAGTGTTCTGTCGCTTCTTTCACTTCCGGAGGTGAGGAAGTGGGGAGAGAGGATAATCTGTTGCATACTTCTTTTCTGTCACAATAAATCTAAAAAGGTAGAGATTGTATTTTTAATCTGGATTGGGGGAACTAGATCTTAACTGCCTATTTCTTTTTCATTGTCTTTTCAAAACAAAAATTCTTTTATTAAGCAAAGACACTTCAAAACATGAACTTATATTTCCAAAAGTAACATCAGAGAAAAATGCTGACTGTTCTGAAAAACCAGCATAATCAACTGCTGTTAACTTTTCAGTGTGTTTGCAGTGTTTGTGTGGTCATAAGATGTATGCCCTGGTGCTGTCCTGCATATACTGTTGTGAGTGGTATCTTCCCCATGTGTAGTAGTAGCCTTTCTAGAAGAACTCATTTCAGCAATCTTCTGTTTTGTTTGGGGTGCTGGGGGTCAAATCCAAGGCCTTGGGTGTGCACGCAGCTGCAGCCTGCCCGGAGCTGCATCATCAAGCCAGTGCTTGATCAGTCTGTTTACCTAAAGGTGTTCTACTCCCTTGCTGGTATCAAGATCATTTTATATTTTGGCCACTACAAATAATGCAGAATTAATCATCTCCTAGTTTACATGTTTGATGGCTTTGGAAGGATTACTAGGTTAGAATGTGTGAGAGTGTGTGCACGCACGCACTTTGATAGACATGTTCTGCCAAGTTACCTTTCCGGAAGGTTGCACCTTTGTCCATGCCCCACTATCTGGGTTCAAGCATCCTTGCCTCTGTTCCTTTGCTAGCAGGGAAAAGTGTATCATTTAAAAAAAAATATATTTTTTTGAGACTACATGCTGTGGCACACGCCTGTAATCCCAGTACTCAGGAGGCTAAAGCAGGAGGATCAGTGAGTTTGAGGCCAGCCTGGGCTAGAAAGTGAGTCCAAGGCCAGTCTGAAATGCATAGTGAAATCCTTTCTCAAAAAGACTTAAAAAAATTTTTTTTTCCTGGAACTTTATGAATATATTGTCATGTTTTTGTTTTTTTGAAGTCACATTGATTTTGTTTAAACTTTTCTAACCTGAGTGAAGGAAAGGGCAGCCTTGTTTTTGAAACATAGATGACCAGTGTTTTTCTGGATATAGGTGAACTTTAGATACAGTCCTCTTTTTCAGGATTCTGGATATTTTCAGGTTCAACTAGTTCTTATGAGCAGAACTGTTGACTTTAATTTCTTCCTGCTCTTGTATTCAAAGTGTCAGTTAAAAGATTGATGAGCTGAATTGAATGCACAAGTGTTTTAGATCATTAATTACATCTGGGCTGGTAACTTTCAGACTTAGGCTTACATAGTGAAGTATATCCTTTTTTAGACACTCTGCCCTATTCATTCCTGAGCAAATTGGAGAAGCACATGATAGAGTGTGTGGCTAGCATTTAGAGCTGTGATAGTTAACATATGTTCACGTAGACACATGTTAATATGTATCCTACATAAACATCTGGCCCAGTAATTGTCAGTAAATGTTAGCTCTGTTCTGTTTTCTCTCAGGAGGTATTTTTCTTACGTGCATATGGTGAGATTCATATATATTTACAATTACAGATATTTTGGAGAAGTGACACGGTGGTTACGCATTCTGCAGGTCTCTGCATTCCCGTGTAGGCCTGATTTCCTGTCACTGGGGCTCTGCTGGGAAGGTGTAGTTTAATGAGATGGGATCGGTTACAAAGCCATTTTAGGGAATTGGTAAATTTTTTTCTTTTATTCTTTGTAATTTTACTAGAGCTCTTCAAAAATACTCTTTTGTAACCATGTAAAAATCACTGATTTTATGACTTAGATGCTTTTCCATTTTTTGACTTATTGAAAGGAAAAGTACTTTTGTTTAGTGTTGCATAATGGAAGCCAATCTAATAGAAACTAGTGCAGACTCACTTCTTGGTGAAAGAATACCCTAATTTAACTTCTGTGATGTTTCGAGTGAGGAGTTAGGCTATCACGAGCTTGGTCTCCCACCAAATTCCTGCAGATAAAGAGGAGTAAGGGAGGGCTTGCACAGTAGCGTGTGGTTGCCAGGTTCAGTGAGTTGCTTCTCCCTCTGAAAAGGCTTTCACGCTTATTTTTGTTTTATGAGCCCCTGCCCTGAGCTATCAGTTACAGACTTGCACCTGTCCTTTGAACTGTAAGAAGTACACGTGCATCTGTTATGGAACTCTGTGTCTCCCCCTGGCAATTTATCTTACACCCTTCTGGACAAATAGTTTTTTTGAAACATATTTTGTGTCCTAAAGGCTTGGATAGCCGCCAGTGCCCAGTGAAATCAGTGCACTAACAGCATGTTGTCCTAACTTAACTCTCCAACTTCCTGATTCTTCGCTGCGTGAATAAACCCATTAGTTTGATTAGGCTTTGTCACCCAGTTTAGCTTTTTCTTGTGTTTCTATGAAATGCTATCTCCCAAACATAGCTTCTCTTACTTAATGTCACCTTTTCTTACATGTCTAGCTCAATTACTGTCTCTACCATGAAGTCATCTTCATATTAGCCAACATTTCCTTCTCTGTTCCTATAAGACGTAATGACTGTCATATCTGTCACATCTTCTTCACTGTTTTATATCAGTTTCTTAAGTCTCCCAATTACAGAAATACTTAGATGTGTTTCAGAAAATTTAACCTAATACATAGTTTGTTTTAAAGAAATAAGACCCAGGTGTTCATGGAGTATTGAACATGAATACTGAGAACCATGTTTTGGTTTTTGTCTCACTTCTAGTCTGAGGCCCACCTTAGTTCTTCCTCTTGGTCTGGAAACCTGAAATGTAATTGAAGCTTAAGATTTCAGAAGGGTGCTGAGAAATCCCAGACCCACATGGCCGTGGCTCAGTGGCTGCCTAGGGTTCTCTTCTCTTGCTGAACATTATTCTTGAAAGTTGTGATTGTGTTCATACCTGACCAGATGTGCATCACCTCTGTTGGTTGGCAGCTTTCGTCTGTGCTAACTTGTGCTTGTTCTTGCTATTAAGTAAGAAATCCAATGGATTGGACACTTATCTCTGGAGACAGTATGATTATATTTTGGCGGAGTGAAAAATACATTCTCTCCTCTTCCCTTCCTCTTGTAACTTGTCTTTTGGAGAAAACCTGAGTTATTTTATCCCCTCCACATCACCACTGCTTTTCCTCTTGCTTCCAGACATCCTGGGCCCTGAGTGAGCACTGTACTCTTGTGCAGTAAACACGCAGCAGCACTGTGATAATGTCTGATAGACACACATGCAGCTCACATCTACAAATGTTTGTAAAATGCGTGGTCATTCACGTCTGAATGTTCTTAAGTGAGAGAATTGCTGTAATTGGCTATGGAGAGTATAGAAAACTGTGAAAGATGTTTGTTGATTTAATTGTATTTAAATAATAATTATAAGATGTAAGTTAATTTTGTATGTTTTTCCACTTCTAGGTTACAGTTCAATAAACATGGTGTGTTGCGGGTAGAAGGCTTCTTAACACCAAACAAATATGACAGTGAAGCAATTGGCTTGTGGCTGCCTTTGACTAAAAATGTTGTGGGCACTGATTTGGACACAGCGAAGTATATCTTGGCCAACATTGGAGACCACTTCTGTCAAATGGTGATTTCTGAAAAGGAAGCTATGTCAACTATTGAGCCACACAGTAAGAGCATCTCTTAGTGGGCAGGATGTTTGAGTCCAACTTGGTTTTTGTTTCTGAGTGACACCTAAGTCCCTATTTGCATGGGTTTCATTTTCATCCACAAGTTCAGATTACTTTGATATAATGAGGTTGCATTTTTCCTTTTGCGACGGGTTTCATCTGAGCTAGCCACCTATCTTTAGGGTTTATTTTGGGACAGTTATCAAGGGAGTGGCTCTTGTTTTTGTTAAAAAAGGTCAAGGTGAAATATTGGCCTCTCCAGCTTTGCAGCCTTGCCAAAGCATGGTAAGGCTTCAGACTGGTTCCTGTAAGAGAAAGGTTTCCCAGTGAGGATGTGTTGAAGAAAACAAGAGACAGGCTGCACCATAGCCCACCCAGGGTGAGTCTGGAGGACTGGGTCTGGGCATGAGAATGGCAAACACTGAGCTGAAGCCAATTCTGTTAGATCAGCATTTGAGGGTTGGAGGTTCCGCTGTGTGTGTGCCTGTGTCCTCCACTCTTTGGAGCATACTCTCACTGCTCTGACAGTCTAGAATCCACAGGCGATAGTATGGCTAACAGAAACAAGCCTCCCGTGTGACATTTCAAGTCTGGGAGGACACCACGCCTCTCCCAGTGTCTGTAGAGAGAGATACCCAGCCAGAAGTATCCATCACTGTATCTTCCCCAAGTGGTTCTAAATTAAATAACAGGGAGGCCTTTTGCATAGCCCTAGTTACTTTGCATAACCAAGTACGTTTGAATACAAGCATCCTCACCAGTCTTAATGATTCTGGCTATAGCTACAAAAGCCTATTGGACAGCAGCTTAAGTACAAAGGTGTTACTAGAGAGATGTGGATTCTGGTGCTTCTCAAGAACAAGGAACAGGAACCAGCAGCAGGAATCCAGAGGTGGGGAGGGCATGAGATTGTGACTCTTGGCGCAAACTGAGTCATGATTTCATCTGAAGAGCAGAGTCTCACAAGTTTAAGGGTCTGGGCCTGGGATTTAGCTCAGTGGCATAAGCACCTGCCTGGTACCGCAGGGAGCCGGGCGTGGTGGCTCACTCCTGTAATCCCAGCACTCAGGAGGCTGAGGTGGGAGGATCCTTTCGAGTTCGAGACCAGCCTGGGCTACCAAGTGAGCTCAAGGCCAGCCTGAACTGCATAGTGAGACCCTGAATCCAAAGAAAAAAACACAAGTCAAGGATCTTCATAACCTCTCCCCTATCCATGTAGAACAAGTGATGCAAAGTTTCCGTTTTCAGTAGAGATACAAAGTTTATTAAATACATTTGGATAAAAGCAGATATAAAGACATTTCTGAGATTAATGCTCCGTGGTAGTATGAACATGTACTCATGACTGCACTGTGGAAACACTTCCTTGGAACGTATCAGTTGCTTCCCTTGTGAGTCAGCAAGGTTGATTTAAGTAAGGAATCGCCATATCCCCACCCCTACCCCATACCCTGTCTGTGTGTGTGCATGTTGTCTTGCTTGCTTGCTTTCTGTCTGTCTGGTTATTCTTTTTGTTGTATTTTAAAACCACAGAAGGAGCACTCCCCTCCTTAGAGGTTGTATTTTAAGACCACAGTTAAGGGGGCTGGGGATTTAGCTCAGTGGCATAAGCGCCTGCCTTGCAAGCAGACAGTCGTGAGTTCGATCCTTGGTACCGATAAAAATGAAAAAGACAAAAAAAATAAAAAAAAGACCACAATTAAGGAGCACTCCCCTCCTTGGAGGTTTAAATGTTACTAATCTTTCCTTGCTGTTTGAGACTATCCTGTTCCTCTTTCATTTGTGACAGTGTGGTCAGACTAGAGAGTGTGGTCAACACTGAATTACTTGGGACACGCCCCAGGACTCACCCAGAGGCTTTCCCTCTGATCCTGCTGTTAGGAAGCAGGTCTCTACTATTGGACTTTTATTCTGTTTTCTCAGTATGTGGATAACTGAGGGATCTAAGACTGTATTCTAATAAAACAGTCACCCAGGTGGCCACAGTGAGGTTCCCAAAATCTCATTGTATGGGGCTAGGGATTTAGCTCAGTGGCATAAGCGCCTGCCTTGCAAGCAAGCAGTTGTGAGTTCAATCCCTGGTACCGATAAAAACAAAAAAGACAAAAAAAAAAAAACCTCATTTGTAGGCTGCCTAAAGCTCCTGTGTATTGTGGCTGAGCTGTTACCTTACAGTGGAGGGTCAGAAGTTCGCTTAGCACTTAGACTAATCCGGTGTGTACTGAAGTCTGGCCATTTGGGTTGTGTTCAGCCATTCAGAAAGAACGAACTCACCAGAGACAGAATTGGGACAAAGCCATCCCATGGGACAAAAATGCAGCGGTGTTGATCCGGGGTTATTCAGGAAAGAGAGACTGGTGACTGAAGGGAGTCTTCCATCAGTGTCACTGGATTTGCCCAGACCTAAAGTGTTCCCTTTTGCTTCTACTTCTTGAAGCCCTTTGTGCCCCATTTGGTCACCCTATTGAGTCTCCCCCTTGTTGGGAGAGGTGTCCCATAGCCTGCCCTGTTATGAAAGGACCCCTCTCTGGCTGCTGCTGCAGGAGGCTGCTCATAGGTCCCCGGATCGTGCCTCAGACTTGTGTGTGTCTGGTTAGTGTGAGGCGGCCCCACTAGTGTCCACTGGACTGCTGTGGACCCTGAGTTCATGTGTGGCTTGCTCCAGGTCCCCTCAGCACAGTGAGGTTTTTGTCTGCCTGGGTATTATCTTGACCACACTGGTGCCCCATGCCACTCAGTGGGCTTGTGTGTCTGAAGAAAGGGTTTTTCCCTTGGAGGAAGCTGGCCCTTGCTGCCCTCAGACCATCAGTGGGCTTCATGAGCAGGTTAGGCTCACCCCCCTGGAACCCCTGCTTCTGTGCACCTGCTGTGTGATCAGTGGTGTGCAGCCTAAACTGGACTCTATCTGTGTAGGGAGCCGCCTTGGGAGGTGGGACTGTGACTGTGGACACGGCATGCAGGATGGCGACTGAGAGACGCACAGGTGACGGGAGTCCAGCAGAGCTTCCTGGAGGCAGTTTGTGTGATGGAGCTGAACAGAGTTCATGGGGACCCCGTTACAGGGAGGAACAATGACCGCACCTCATGGTCAGCACCAGGTCTCTACCCACAGCTAAATTTATTGATTTATTGATTCTTGCAGGACAGGTTGCTTGGAAGCGGGCTGTCAAAGGTGTTCGAGAAATGTGTGACGTGTGTGACACCACCATCTTCAACCTGCACTGGGTGTGCCCGCGGTGTGGGTTTGGGGTGTGTGTGGATTGCTACCGCATGAAGAGGAAGAACTGCCAGCAGGGTGAGAACTGACCCGATCCCCCTCCAGCCCCGTTACCCTGCAATTAAGCCCTTGGTTCATTTGTGGCGGGTGGGCTTGTAGAGTGCAGGGGCCAGGGTGCACCAAGAATGGTTACCACAAGCCCGCCATTTTCAGGTGCCGCCTACAAGACCTTCTCTTGGCTAAGATGTGTGAAGAGTCAGATACACGAGCCGGAGAACCTCATGCCTACACAGATCATTCCTGGCAAAGGTACTGCGCGTGGTGCTGGGATTTTCTTTCCTCATGCCTCAGCTCAGTCAAGGCTGGTAGTTTAGTTTCAGAGTGTGCATTGTTGTGACTCGATAACCTTACGTTATACTGTGTCCTGTAAATTGCCTGGAAGCGTCCCCACACTTTTTAATTAAGGGCTTGCAGGTAGTTTGTGGACAGGAAATGGCGCCTTTGGGGAAGGTGGGATAAAAGGGAGGGATGGCGGGCCATGCTAGTGAGAAAGGTTCCCTGAGAGGAAGGCCCACTCCACTCCGTAATGGCGAGGTTGAAAGTCCTGACATCCTTGTTCAGATGTTTGCCTCTGCTCTTTTTCCAGCCCTCTATGATGTTGGAGACATTGTTCATTCAGTAAGAGTGAAGTGGGGAATAAAGGCAAATTGTCCTTGTTCAAACAGACAGTTCAAACTCTTTTCAAAGCCACCCTCAAAGGAAGACTTGAAACAGGTAATGCTACTTTTCAGATAACTCAAGGTTTCTATCAGTGTTTTTTTTCTTTTTTTAGTGAAGTTTAGTGGTACATTTTAGGTATATATAATGATCACATTCGTCACAGGGAATTTGTACCTGTATGTGCTTCAACCCCTCTTTTCTCCTTATTTACAAAATCTTTGTTTCCATTGTTCCCTTTATTTTTTTTTTTCTTTCTCCCTCTTTTTTTTTCCTTTTCTCATCGTTTCTGCTTTTCTCAGTGTATTTTAAAGGAAAGCGGCAGTAGCTGTCAACAGGGAAAGAATTCATTCCTTTAACAATTCAGAGGCCTGCTCTCTCTCCCATGTTTACTCTTGCCTCGTTTATGGATTTTTATTAGTAGGCTTCATACTTTTTGTTTCTTGGAAAAGCAAAAATCCTTTGCTATAGTCTAATAGATTGCTGTCAGGTTTGTATGAGTCTTTAAAATCTCATGTTTTGCACAAGTAAAATTATTCAGATATGCATTAAAAATGTTAACTACCGAGTTGGTTTTCTCCATCAGCTGTGTGAAGCGTTGATGGGAAGGATGAAGTGAGTCTCCTCTGCTGTCCCTTGCCCCTCACAGGCGTGTCCGCGGTGGCAGCCCTCCCTCTGCGTCACAGCCTTCAGCGGTCCCTTTCCCGCACACAATAATCCTGATCTTACATTGTGTTTGAGAATCAGAGATTCTCTCACATTTTTATAGAACTGTGATGTCGAAGACAGCATGGCAGGAACTTGCATGTTTTCCGGCTGCTTCCTGGGTGTGTTCCTTGGGCTCACACAAGGGAATTTAGGTGCACTTGCTTCGGCTTGCTCGTTGGTACCTCACGAGTACAGCAGGGCTGAGCCATCAGGGTCCTTTTTTCTTTCTCACGTTTGCACAACCTGCCCAGCTGAGTAATGGAACAAGTGACGTGCTCTTTCTAGTTTGTCCTTCTCGGTTTATGTCTGATGACCTCTTAAGAGCTCCTTGTCACATTTTAAAGCTTACTTAGAAAAGCATTTTCCCTTTTTTATGTCCTGTTTCCTTCTGAAATTCTAGCTTCCTTTCCTGCCTGCCTTATTCATTCAACAACCATGTTTTGAGGGCTTGCTCTGGATTCTAATTTTCCAAGGAAGGCCAACACATAAACTGGCCACTTTAAAGCCACATAGTACCTGGGGGAGAATGCTGTGTACACAGGTGTACATAATATACACATGGACTAAGAGGGTGGGAGGGAAATACCTGGGTATTTAAACTGTTACCTGTGTTTTTGCTGATAATACTTAGAATCTAAAAATAAGAACCTGCTGTTACTGCAGCATTTCTGCAGCTCTGGTGATACAGCTTCATTTTGGAGATCCAGCTCTTATTAGAGGGATCTTAGCAGAGAGGATAAGAAAAAAGAAATGCCATTCTTTAGCTTATGAAAAATTCTCCTTTGGTACTTTACACAGACCTCCTCAGCAGGAGAAAAACCAACCTTCAGTGCCGGACTCCAGCAAAGTCCCCCTGCGTTGGAGCCAGCAGCTGTGGGTGAGGAAGCAGCCTCTAAAGCAGCCGCCAACACAAAACCTGCCTGTCCCGCCAGCTCGGCGCCTTTGAACTGGCTGGCTGACCTGACCAGTGGGACCGTCAACAAGGAGAACAAGGGTGAGAGGCGCCGCCTTCCTGTTGCTTCTGAGTAGCCCTGTCCTCGTGGAGGGGCTTGACAGCCTCCGCTGCGAGATCAGTGGTGAGAAGTCATGTGACAAGTGTCCGGGCCTTCATCCCGGGGCCCTCATCCCGGGGCCCGTGCCAGTGAAAGCGTACGTGCAGTGCAGCACCGAAGACGAGAGCTGTTGGTGCTGATAGAGCTCGGATCTGTAGGCCAGGCTTAGGTCATGTTTGGCGAGAGTGGACCAGACCGAGACTTAGGATAAGTGACTTTTCACCTGTCTGTCCTCATCCTGTTTGGTCTATGTCTAAATATGCTACCTCTGGTCTTACTCTCGTCATCTGTGCTGCAGTCTTAGGATGACTGATGACAGGGTATGTAAAGAACGCACTTTGGTATCGGAGTTAGAGTAGAATTGTGATTTTTGCCTTCTCTCATGTTATGAGAGAAAAATCACACGTCAATTTCTCCTGCAGGCACATTGAATGAAATTTCAGTGATCAAGTTTGATACTATAAATACAGGAATTATATAGCCTAACTAAATGGGGCTTTTCCAGAAAGGCATCTGAAGTTTTGAGAGGGAAATCATATACCAAGTTACCAAAAAACATTCTATGAAATTCAGTGTATACTTAGAATTTAACTGTTTTTCTCTACATTTAAGAATGAGATAAAGATACCTGTTTTTCACTATTTTAGAGAGTACAAGTAAAAAATCCAAAAGAACGTGTAATGATGAGTTAGGTTACTAGAGACAAGGTCAGATTCCAAAAATTGTTTGTGTTTTTGCATAAGAAATGTAGAAAGTGAGAGTTTAAACATGCAGTTTATCTGGCTACTGGATTGTTTCAGTATGTCTCTTGAACCCTTGTCTAAATGTAACTAGTATTGCTATTAAGTTGTTTGGTTCTGATTCATAAAAGCCTATGTAGGACCTGCCTTTCAGAACAGTTTTAGATCTAGGTGTTGTGGTTTGGTTTTAGAAAAACAGCCAGTGATGCCAACTTTAAAGAACGAAGTCAGATGCCTTCCTCCTCTTCCCCCTCTGAGCAAACCCAGCACAGTGCTCCACACCTTCAACAGCACAATTTTGACACCTGTGAGCAACAACAATTCTGGTTTCCTCCGAAACCTCTTGAATTCTTCTGCGGGAAAGGTATGCACTTGTCCTGTTATTTGCATTCCACCTTATCTAGATGAATAGGAACAGGACAGGAGGAGACTGGAGACACTGAGATAGAGTAGAGGGAACAAAAGTCCCATGCTGCATTGTGTGGGGACAGAATGCTGTGCCAGCTCATTGGCACAAAGGCTTCCCAGGGCTGTGGTACTGGGCAGTCCACTTTATTCCACCACACCTCCTCTTGCCTGTGTGCATTGGGGGTCCTGGCCTGGATGCTACTGGTTATGTAATGTGGACCAATCCTGCCAGTATAGGAATGGGTTTTTTGATGGTAGAGAAGGGCGTATTTAAGACTACTGTTTCTTAAATTCAGACAGAAAATGGACTCAAGAATACACCAAAAATCCTTGATGACATCTTTGCCTCTTTGGTGCAAAACAAGACATCCTCTGATTTATCTAAGAGGCCTCAAGGACTGACCATCAAGCCCAGCATTCTGGGCTTTGACACTCCTCACTACTGGCTGTGTGATAACCGCTTGTTGTGTTTGCAAGATCCCAACAACAAGAGCAACTGGAACGTGTTCAGGGAATGCTGGAAACAAGGGCAGGTAATGTGGGCCACTGCTCACCGATCCAGTGCGGATCTCTTTGCAGTCGTCTTGGCAGACCTTTGAGAGCCCACTTCGGCTCCTTCCTCGCCAGGGCCGATTCCTTTTCCCTCCTGGTTTTATACTTGGTTGTTTGGTGTAAACAGAATCAGGACCGGGCTTGCTTAGTGCAGCTGACTTTCCCGTGCTGTCCTCCCCAGTCGGGGGCCAAGCGCTTCCAGCAGCCCTTTGATGAGAGTGTCCAGGCTTTGTGATCTTGGGTACTGAAGTGGGAGTGTGGCGAAGTGGCTGCTTCGGATTGGAACATTAGACAAAAGTAAAATTCCTAGGTCCCTCTCCCGCGAGTCCTTGTGCTGGAGGCGGTTCTCGATGGCCCAGAGCCACCTGGTGTCATCTTGGAATCTGTGTGTCGTTCCCCAAAGTGCCTGCCTTCCACTTTGGGAGGGCAGCGTTCTGCGGCCTTAAGTGCTGGTGATGGGTGTGGGAAACCCACACAGAAGGGTGGCCGCTTCTGTGTTCCTTCTCCTCCCCAGCCCTCCCTTTTCCCCTCCCCTGTTCGCTTGGTTCTGCTTTCTGGATTTTTGGTTTTTTCTGGCCAAATGGGGTCCTCACTAAAGGAACACTTTGCTCTTGGACAAGAATTCGGGAGAACTGCCAAAGAGGAAAATGTGAGTTTTAAGAACAACAGCACAATTTCAAAAGCATGTTAGTCAGGCCAGTGCAGAGGCTGCAGATGACAGGCTGATACACAGTCACCAGCAGGTTTTGTAGGATTAATTATTGTAATGGGTAGTTTTTGTTTTTTGTTTTTTACTTAAAAAGTATTAAACTTGTTGCCAGTGTTTTAAAGTCAGGCTATTTAACACAGATCTCAGCATTCTTGGCTTGTTTAAAGGAGCCAGAAGAACTGGCACAGCCACAGGTCTGTTTTCTGCCTGGCAGTGGCAAGCAGAGGCTGTGGCAGTGCCCGCTTTGCATAGTAAACGCCATGGCCCTTGTTTGCCTCGAGTCCCTGCTAGGCCTTTGGTGGGTGGCATCCTGAGTACTGGGATCCAAGCAGGAAGGGTGAGCCTTGCTCCCAGGAACTTTGATCTACCTGGAGAGCTGCATGCATAGCATGTGAGTGCAGAGAATGAAAGCTACTGTTAGAAGCTCAGAGACTAAGCTGTCACTTCTTCAGCCATGACCAGCACTTGCTGGAGAGGGACAACCTGTGGGCTTTGGGACACAACTATGGGAGTTCACACTGAAGCCTCCTTTCTTTGCTTTTAGCCAGTGATGGTGTCAGGAGTGCACCATAAATTGAACACTGAACTTTGGAAACCCGAGTCCTTCCGGAAAGAGTTTGGTGAACAGGAAGTTGACCTGGTTAATTGTCGGACCAATGAAATCATCACAGGAGCCACTGTTGGGGACTTCTGGGATGGATTTGAAGATGTGCCCAGTATGTACTAAAGATCTTCCTGGGGTCTGACGTGTTAAAGCAGGGGACACGGGACTAGCAAGAGTCAGAGATAATTTGGAGTTCCAGTTGGTGTCTGTTTCCTTTGCCTTTTCTTACAAGGTTTATGCTTTTGAACTGAGTCATCCCCGAAACTGGTACTGGTTCTCTGACAGATAGTTCTGACTAAACCTTGTGTGTATCAACCCAAAAGCTGGGGGAGAAGGGAAGAATGACCCCCATTGGTCCTTGTTCCTGGGCAGAACATGGGGTGGGCTCAGTCTTGTACTGTGTAAAACATTTCCATTTCATGCTGACCACAGAAGACTGGGTTTGCTATATGCTGTGGTCTTTGATCGTGAACATGCATTGCGTTGGTTACTTGTGGAGCCCCTTAGTGCTTTTAGGACACTGTGGGAGAAGCAGACTGGCTTTGAGCTGCTCAGCAGCCAAACTCTGCCTCTGTATATCGGGCATAGGAGAGGGCTGAATTTCAGAGAACTGACAGCATCTGAAAAGACAGGACCCTCATGTGGATTCATGATCTTTAATTTTCTGTCTCCGGGGTACAACTGAATTTCTTGGCATTGTAGAAATAAAGTAGCTGGTGGCTAGCAGGAGAGGGATATTGAAGAAAAACAATATTTGTATACTGAGTGGGTCAGATTGTAAATCTTACATTGTTGAGGAATAGAATGCTAATTTATCATTTACTTTGATCTGTTACAAATAATAAGTTCATTAATCCTGGTTACCTTTCAGATCGTCTAAAAAATGACAAAGAACCAATGGTGTTAAAACTTAAGGACTGGCCACCAGGAGAAGATTTTAGAGATATGATGCCTTCCAGGTACCCTCAAGAGGGGAAAGTGGTTCTGTCCTTGAATTGTGAAGATAAATTTTCTGAGATACTGAAAAAATAGTTTTTAGGGAAATATGAAAGGTCCATGGTTTTGTTGGTACTGATTTTTTTCCTTTGTAGTCTGTAATCGTCAGAATGGTGTAGTTTAAATGAAGTAAAGAAATTAGTGAACTTTAGAGCTGGCTGAAAGTACCACACTTGGCGTGGACATGCTGGCCACATGAAGGCTTGGTGTAGGTGGCCAGGCAGGTCTACAGACATTGTTAGACCAGACAGGCCAGGGCTCAGAAGTAGCTTTAAAGTGGTAGGTCGATTTTCCTGAGATATTCTTGAAACCTTGAAAAGGAGTCTGACAATTGATACATTATTCTTGAGTGTTAGTTCTTTTATCACGAAGTTCATACTCAAATCTTTTTCCTAAAATACCCCAGATCACTTAGATACATTTGCATGGCAGAGGAGAGAAGGGTCTGTGTTCATAACTACACATCAGTGATGGCTCTCTCTGTCTTTGTGATCACAGATATACTTGTTTCTTGGCTATAAGGAAAAAAATCACACAATAAAAATTAGAAAAGAAGCTTATTTTGTAAATTCTGGCTCTCGTTCTAGATTTGATGACCTGATGGCTAACATCCCGCTGCCTGAGTACACGAGGCGAGATGGCAAACTGAACTTGGCCTCTAAACTGCCAAGCTACTTTGTTCGGCCAGATCTCGGTCCTAAGATGTATAATGCTTACGGTAAGGAGGAAGTGCCTAACTTGTAAAAATTATACTCAATATTAACAAGTCAAAATCTTGAGAAAATTTAGGGAAAGGAAAAATGGAAAATAGCTACCATTTAACACAGCAGTTGCCTTCATTTCTTGGTCAGATGTTTATTTCCTTTTCATAGCCGTAGGTGTGGGGCATGTGAAATACTGTATTGTGTTTCAGAACTCTTCTCTACACTATTTTATATTGCAGAAGTTTCATGTGTATTTAGGTGGGTCTGCTAGCATTCTTTCAAGCTGTTTTAACATCTGATACACTCAAATGCAGTATTTTCTGTTGGGTAGAAGTTAGTACTGAAAGCACCCTTTGAATTGGATTTTTATTGTTGGACATGAAATCCGTCCAACAGGAAGGTTTCTTGGGATAAAGATTGATTTCTGTATTTACCATTTATCTTTTTGTCATTACTTTAATCTCAGGCAGTTTCAGCATAGAGTCTATTAGGGTAAGAGTAAAGTTGGCCATTTTGAGGGAATTATTTGCCAGATTATTGTTGAATGAAATGCCACTTGTTTGAATCTTGCAGTGAACTTCATTTACTTCTTTAAAAATATTATTTTTCAGACCTCTTAGAAATTAGTCCTTGGGGATTTAGCTCAGCGGCATAAGCACCTGCCTTGCAAGCAGACAGTCGTGAGTTCGATCCCTGGTACCGATAAAAAAGAAAAAGAAAAGACAAAAAAAAAAATTACTCCTTGATTTTTTTTTTTTATTCCTCTCATAATTATCTCTATATCATCATAGACAGCGGCAGCTCTCCTTGGAAAAGGTCAGTCCTTTGCTGGCCCCGCCAGGCTCAGTCCCCCATTTTTGTCTTGGCTGAGTTAGTCTAGGGAACCCCACTCGCAGCATAGTTGGGGAACATTCTAAGAAGTGGGTGTCTGTGCTTAGAAGCTGCTGGCAATGTAAGTGCCCTGATAGTTCTGCCAGGGTAGGATGGGAAACAGTGCGGGAGAGAAGACATGGCAGGTAGAACTCGTCTTGCCCGTTACCTCCTTCTTGGGTCTCAGTGAGCCCTGTATGTGACACGATCTGCCACGCATTTCCCATCCAAGTTCCCTTTCCAAGCTCAATCAAAGCCTCAGGTGGGGAGCCTCTTGGGCACAGTTTTTGGTATGTGAAAGTGTATTTCCAAAGATGTCACCTAGTGATTATCTGAGCGTTATAGAAATCATGAAGTTCTGTAGGGTATCTGAGATATTTATGTCCTGCTTGGTTTAAATGGCTTGGCACCCTCCTAGACAGTAATAGGTAGGTGGCAGTGTTACTCTGTGAAAGCTTTTCCTCTGACAGAATTGTGCCCATCCAGAAGCAAGCAGTTCGAGGCTAGAAAAGAATGCAGAGATGTTGTTCTTCAGATTCCTTATCCTAAACATGGAGGTCCGTGGTATTTTGTCTCTGGGTGTTGTTTTGAGACTCCTTACCCTGCGACCTTTATGCTCTTAAAGTCTTGGTTCCGTTTGAGTTCAGCTCCTCAGTTTAGAGTCCTATTTAATTAATGTGCAGTAACCCAAGCTGGACAGAGGCCAGTGCTGAGCAGGGGTCACTGTCTTCCTCATTCGACGCAGCTCAGTGAGCTGCTGGCCCAAGCCCGGCAGCAGCACGTATGGCGGCTCTGAGAGCCTTCCTCCTCCCCCCGCTCTTCGTGGCTGTGCCGTCCTGGCCTCAACTGTGCTCCTGCCTGCGGCGCCCATCCCTCCCTTGCAGGGATTATCACATAAAGATGCTTCCCTGCATAGCTTTGTTTTTAATTTGCTTTTACAGTTTCTGTAAGTAGAATTAACCTTTTTTGTATTCATTCATACTGTCATAAATAAGTGTTTCATCCATTTGACTTCTGGAACATTAATGACTTACTTTCTTGCTAACTTTACATGTGGGAACATTTTCCAAGCACAGTGAAAATTTGAGTCTCCCAGTGCAGCAACTCACCATACGCTCATCACCTAGGGAAGTGGCTTTTGCCATTTATTGCTTCGTTATCTCTTTCCTTGATATTTTTCCCTCAGATACTTCAAAGCATATCCCATATATCTCATGGTTCCACCCTAATACCCAGTGCTTTACCTACTCCTAGAGAGAATGAATGTTTCAGCTGGTGGGAAAGGAAGCAAAATCTCTGTGCTCTGGGACTCCGGTCCTGGGCTGGCTTGATGTGGCGTGGCCTCCTAAGGATGGCCTCTTAAAACTGCAGCCCCACGCAAGTCAGAGGGATCAGGAGGGCCTTTTCAGAGGCTGCAGGCTGGGACCCGCCTCCGCTGCCCTCTTAAGCCAGTTTGAAAAGCAGAATCCTGGTGTCAGGCCGTCCAGGGTGACAGCAGGAGCCGGCAGACTTCAGAGTGACTGCTGAGCAAGGTGAGGCTCCTGGCCGTGGGGAAGGAGTTCAGAACACACAGCACACAGGAGGGGACCTCACCTGGGGCCAGCACACTGGGCAGGGTTCCTCCTCACACTGCAGCCCCAGGTAGTGTGTGTGAGCAGGGCACTCCAAGCAGAGTGGACCTTAGGTGCCCCGAATCCCTCCTAGGCTGTCCCAACTGAAAGTTGAGCTCACCTGGTTAAAGAAATGGTCTTCCAGCAAATCCCAGCTTCGGGAGTCTGCTTCACACTCCCTTTGTTGCTTTCTACTGTTCGGTTCTGAGCGGCGGTGCCAGGGCATTGGCCTTTTATTGTTACTTTCAGTTATTTTACCCTCACTGTTTCGCATGTTCTCAGCAGAAGGATTCATGAAGGGCCCTGCTTTGCTTATCAACAGTAGTTGCAGCCTTGAGGATATATTTTATTTTTGTAATTCTGTATTTGAAAAGAGATTTTCTTTCAAAGTGGAAAGTATAAAAAGTTTGGTTCTCTTATTTCTGATGATTAAAGAGAAATTTCATGGTCAAGTATAAGGCCTTGACAGCCTTTGTTGTCTTCAGTAGACCTCAGGGATTTCCTTTTTGCAGGATTAATTACTCCAGAAGATCGGAAGTATGGGACCACAAATCTTCATTTAGATGTGTCTGACGCAGCTAACGTCATGGTGTATGTGGGAATTCCCAAAGGACAGTGTGAGCAAGAGGAAGGTACGGAGCTGAGGGTGCCGGTGGGGCTTGTGGTCTGCGCTGGAGCTTGTGGTCTGACCCCTGCTGTCTTGCTGCAGAAGTCCTTAGAACCATCCAAGATGGCGATTCTGATGAACTCACAATAAAGCGATTTATTGAAGGAAAAGAGAAGCCAGGAGCCCTTTGGCACATATACGCGGCTAAAGACACAGAGAAGATAAGAGAATTCCTTAAAAAGGTGTGCTGCTCCCCCACGGTGTGCGCGGAGAGTGTAAGAATAGCAGTTATTATAAATGACTGCCTTGGGAGCCGACTGGCGTGTTACGGGGGCTAGGCCACAATGGTTGCTAAGGAACAAAGATTCTAAAAGATTGGGATTGCACTTCTGAAAAGGGGACTTGTCTTTTGTGTCTGTTTTGTATTACAGTCTATTTGGAGATCTGCATTCTCTCCCTTCAAGTTAGGTCATCTCCTACCATATATTTGTTTTATTGCCTTGAAAATCTGAGGGCTTCAGAAGTTCACCTGCAGTCCTTGTTGTTTCCTCTCTTTGGTGAGAGGGCCTGTTTGTGTCCTTAGCAAGGGATCACAGGCCTAGGGCAGATTCCAGGTTTCCCCTGTAGATGGCAGTTTGCTCAGCAAGGTACTGTGGGGAACGTCATTTTCCGCTTGTTCAGGGCTGCGGTCGCTCATTGCACCCCAGATATTCTTCAGTCATGTGGCAGGGATGGATGCGAATACTTCTTGCCCAATGTCAGGCACCAGGTGGTTCTTTAACATGCAGTTGTCTGTCTTTCTGGCTAGGGATCATTTGACTATTCTGGAACACTTGCTGGTCACCATATTGTTCCCTCAGGAGTGTCACTCTGAGGTGCTTCACCAGAGAGCGAGTTGAGAATGAACAAGTTTAATCTGCAGTAATCTTTGGTGTTGTTTTATAACTCAGATTGTTAAGCAAAAACAGGTCTTTAGCAAAACAATTTTATTTCTGAGGAGCTTGAACCCACATAGATGTAAAGCGGTAGACCAACATTTTATGTCCAAGCGCATTGGTTCCAAAAATATGCACACTGCTGGTGATGGTTTATAAGAAATGACAGCAGGAATCTGTGATTTTTGTCATTCTTCTCTTGGTTCACTCACTTGATGTGTGTGAGACCCTTTTTGGTTCTCTGCCAACAGAGAACCACAGGGGTACTTAAATTGAAGTCAGCCAGACACAGGAGAACTGTTTGGGGTGGGGGCCCCTCATGAGGCCTCAGCATGTTGCTCAGTTGCATGATATTCTGAACGTGTTCCAGGTATCAGAAGAGCAAGGTCAGGAAAACCCAGCAGACCATGACCCTATTCACGATCAGAGCTGGTATTTAGACCGAGCACTGAGGAAGCGTCTGCATCAGGAGTACGGAGTTCAAGGCTGGGCTATTGTACAGTTTCTTGGGGATGTGGTGTTTATCCCGGCAGGAGCTCCACACCAGGCAAGAACCATCTCTTTGTGTTCGTTCTCCTTCTGGTGTGAACTTTCAAGTGTGTTGCTGATGTGGCTTGCTGTTTTTCAGGTTCATAATTTATACAGCTGTATCAAAGTGGCTGAAGACTTTGTGTCTCCGGAGCATGTAAAACACTGCTTCTGGCTTACTCAGGAATTCCGTTATCTGTCACAGACTCATACCAATCATGAGGATAAATTGCAGGTAAAAATGGCACCGAGTCTTGGCTTTGGCTTCCTTGCTGCATGGCTGCAGAGTGAGATCGGCCCTGTCACACTCAGTGCAGTGAGTTAGTGAATGGCTTTATGTCTAGTTCCACCACCTACTTAAGTGAAGAAGGAACAGACTTAGAAGGAACCTCACCTTGGTTCAACTCTATTAAGTGCTGTGTGGGCCTGGGTCCCAAGAGAACAGCTTTAGTATAAAAACAGTGGAACTTCCGGTCCCGTCGGGGCTGCCACAACCAGTGCTCTGCGACAATGCTTGACCTTTTGCTGCACTGTTCTCATGGAGCTTGGGTAGAGCAGAATTGAGTCTTTGCAATCAGAAACGGGTAGCATTGTGAAAGACTGCAAATAATAAACTCTGGAGTATCATTTCACGGTTGGAAAATCGGAAAAATGTAGAAACTGCAGGGGGCTGGGGTACCTTGGGACCCAACCTCACCCTGTTTTCACCAGGGTCATGTGGCATCAGAACCCATAGAAGGGACAGAATGAGCTTTTAAGTTCTCTGAAGGGGGCATGGGTTTTAAGTGTGTAAAATAGTGGTCTAAAAGAGCCCAAGGCCCTTTTTAATACTGGTATTCCATACAGATTATTTTTTTATATTCTGAGAGAAAGCAATATAATTAGGGACAGTGAGGTGTGTATTCTTTGTGATATGTTTAGATTTAATGGTAAAATCATCATCTCTCCTTCCTTCCTATTAGGTGAAGAATGTTATCTACCATGCAGTAAAAGATGCAGTTGCTATGCTGAAAGCCAGTGAATCGAGTTTCAGCAGACCTTAATCCCCGCACATTGGAAGTGAATTGTCGGCAGCTGTTCAAACTCTTCAGGCAGGATTCCTGTGGACTTTGAGATTTCATGTTACCTCATCTTCTTTTTTAAAATATACCCGACCTGTGAGGGTACTCTGTCTAATGTATATTTCTAGTGTTTACAGACACTAAATGTGTATATGTAGTAACTATTTACCGAAACGCATCCTTAAACTGTGACTTCTCACCCAGTGCAGATCTTTTACCAAGCTGTAAAAACAAAACCTCATATCAGCTCTGGAACAGTACTGCAGTTATTCCCCAGCTGTTTGTTTGTACAGTTTAGTCAGATGAGTTTCTAGCTGTTAGGAATCACTGCGCAGTTGATTTGGGTTTTGTTCTGTCTGTCTCTGTGCCCTCCCCACACCCACTTGGGCCCGAAGAGCAGTGGAGGAAGTGACAGCTAAAGGTGCAGTTCTCGTGTACTGCATAGAACTGGCATTCTATAGCGGAAATCAGCTACTGTACATTCTTGGGGTTAACCATCTTTAGTTAAATGGAATTTTAATTTAAAAGAAGCTTTGCTAATTTTAAGTGTAAGCATTTTGCATTAAAATATTCATATAATATTTCATGTAGTTTATTGACATCCTGTGGCTATGAATTCAACACATTCTAGCAAATGCAGGTTTAAGAGACTGCTGTGGGAGCTCTTTTCAAAAGCAAAGAGATTAAGTGCTGTAGTGATTTCTTAGTGATTCTTGCAATGCTAACATGGAAAATTTTTCCCCAGACAGGCAGAAATTCTGTCACACTTTTTCAAAGAAACATCACCAATTATTTAAATTCAGAAATTAGAATTAACCAAAACCAAATCGTGTCTGGCTAAATAGTCCTAAAAAGATAAGAGATTAAAATACTTCATCTTCTGGTCCTTTATAATATAAGAGTTTACAAAGGAGAAACATAGTTTAAGAACAGTGGTACCTAAAATCACCTCTGGAAAAGTAAAATTCATAGTACAACCACAGCTGTGGTAAGAGGCATTTTGAAATCAAGTGGGAGACAGACCCCGTGCATGGTCCTGACCTGTGGGCCGAGTATGAGGTCAGGATCCCCGTCTACCACCCGCTAAACCTTCAGGGGATGAGTTTTTGAAATGGGGAAAAGCAGTCCCTGAAATGTCTTTAGAAGTTCCTTTATTCAGATTTGGATCTAGAATCCAGAATAAGAAAACTGAGATCTTCAGGCTGGAGACTTAGCTCAATGGCATAAGCGCCTGCCTTGCAAGTGCATGGTCGTGAGTTTGAACCCCAGTACTGATTAAAAAAAAAAGAAAGTAAGAAAACTGGGATCCTCCTAAGAGGTGGCCACATTCAAGCCAGGCTTGAGAGGAACCCACCCCACAGATAATTAGATAATAGGACTGTTAGTCAAAACCAAATGTAACAAAGAAGACGACAAGTCACCAGCCAGGTGTGATGGTTCAATCCTGAATCCCAGCATTCAGGATGAGTTCGAGGTCAGCCTAGATTGCAGTGAAATCTTGTCTCGGGAAACAACAGACTAAAGAGCCCCCATAAATGAGAATCAGCCCAGACCTTCAATCTGACACATGTGCAAAGTTTTCAGATTCTGGAAAGACCCATTATTTACTGTGAAATGTTTAAATGAGTACAGGGATTATGTCTAAGGCAGTGTCAGAAATGACCAGGCTTGAAAAAAACAAAATAGAACTTTGGAAATGAAGTACGATAGTTAACATTAGAAATTCAAGCACACAAGATAAACAGCAGAAAAACATTCCATGAACTGAATGATTGGAAGAAGTGGATGAAATGGCATGAAGAATGGGAAACAAAGATGCTAATGTACAAGGAGGATACAGAAAATACAGCAGCTGAAAGAACGGGTGGGAAGATTCTTCAGTACCGATGCCATGTCATCAGATGGAGGAAGCCCAACTAAAGAGTGATAAATTTAAGAATCCACAGCTGTAGGGTTTGTGTAGTGCTTATGCCAAACAGTTCCTAACGTTAAGTGGTGCAGCTTACTGACTTGTCCCCTTGCTGATGGTGTGAATGACAGCCATTCAGGGAACACTGCTTTAGATGTGGAATTTAGATCTGTTCGGGGGCAGGCAGTACATGGCAGATACTGTCCGGCGTCGCTGGGAGGGGAACACCTGCCCTCTGCAGTGTGCCGTGTTGCTGAGCCAGGATCCCTAGTTAGGTTAGGGACTTTGAATATTTTCAATTTCAGATGAGTTTCCCAGAACGCAGCCCCTTCCTAAGTTGAAAAGCATCTGTAGGTTCTTAAAAGCTACCATGGTAAGCTTGACGGCCCACAGCAGGGCCGGGGTGGCTCACATGACCTTCGAAGAAGTGATGGAGTTGACAGTCTGTCAACAGAAGTGAAGCGTGGAAGCAGATGCCATTCCAAGTGTGGTGGGGAAAGCAAAAGCCTGCAGCTGGCCGAGTTAGTTTCCCTGTTCTCTGTATGTGCAGAGCTCAGCCGAAGCAACATCCGAGTAACTGTAGGAAAGGAAAGGATTCCACAACATGCAGGAAAAAATGGTGTAAAAGAAAAGTTCTAAACTCTTACATAAATGTAAACAAAATAGTGTAAAAGTAGGTATTTTAGATTAGCTTTCTCTCAGAGAGAAACCAGGCTATCACAGAACCCAGCAGTTCTATGTGCATGTCCAAAAGAACTGAAAGCAGGTTCAAGGACTTGCACCCAGTGTTTCCAGCAGCGCTATTCACAGTGGCTGAACTGTGGAAGCAACCCAGTGTCCACCGGCAGATAGTGGGTAAACAATATGCGTGGCACACAGGTACATATAATGGCATAGTATTCAGCCTTAAAAAGGCAATAAGTTTTAACATTCAACATGGGTGATACAGTAAACCAGATATAAAAGGACAAATAGCGCATAATTTCTTGTAATGAGGTACCTAGATGCATGAAGACAAGAAGTGGAGTGACAGCAGGGCTGGGAGGAAGGAGGAATGGGAGCTAGCATCTTGGGTATATTTTTAATGATGAAAAGGATGAAGTGGGTAATCAAGATGGACGTGAAACATCGTGAAGGTACTGAATTGTTCACATACAGTGATAGGAATGGTAAGTTTTGAGTACATTTTCTCAGTATAAAAAATAATTATGTAGGGAAAGCTTTTGAAGTTGAATGAGAAAAGCGTCAATTTCAAATAGACATAACACTAAACTAATAACCAGAATCTACATTCTCACACATGGATCATTCACCCAGGAAGATCATATAGTGGCCCAAAATTTAGTAGTGAATTTACAAAGACTATATAAATGTGTATTACATTTTGAGGATAACAAGAACTAAAAAAATCTTCAAATGTTGCAATAACACAACAATTACATCTATCAAAAGAGAATGGAAAATAGGTATTTGGAAGAGAATAAAACATCAAAATGGTGGGATTCAGCTTATAACAGGTACTTGGGAGCTTAACAGCTTTAAATTATGCAAGAAAAGGATTAAATTTGCACCTCCAAACCCAATATAAAATAAAAGACAGCTAAAAATTCCTTGAAAAAAAGTTCAAATGGTTAGTCTCTGTTAAAATGGTTAGAGACATTCAAATAAGGAAATACTGTGAAGTCCTGCTAGTACAGCTGATTTGTGGAGAAATTCTTTGAAAAACAATAATGGAAATAGCATAAGAAAATCACATAGTTCTAGGTCTGTTGAAGAAATGGAATTCATAATTAAGAATCTGCCAGAGCCACCTTTTCACTGATGAAGTGTTTCTATCAAACGAAAAGCAATAAATAGTACCACTATTACGTATTCTTCTCAGACATGAAGAGGAAACATTGCCAAACACTTGCGGAAATTAACCTTAACACTGTAACCCAAAGCTAGTAGGGCGTTTCAGAGGATTTACAAACTAATAGCTCTCATTAAATAAAACCCAGAGAATTTTAAGGATTGTACACACAGTGAAAGGATGTCTAACCATGGGGGCGCTATACCAGGAACAAAAGACCAGCCTCACATGAAAACCAAATCCAGGCATTTCACTCAACAGAAGCAAGGAGAAGATTTGATATATTGAATAGAAACCTTTGAAATAATTGTTCAGAGTTAAAACCTCATCTCAATAAACTAGATATGATAGTGCATTTATGAAACACTACTTTAAACAGCATATAAAAACAACTTCCAAATGCTAGCAATAAAACCGCTTAAAATACTAAAAACTGTCATGTTCTTAGGAACACAGTGAAAAATAATCACAACTTCTTCAACATTGAAAACTATAGGATAAGGCTGAAAAAAATGAAAGACTGGAGCAGTAACCTCCTGTTGAAACACTCATTTGGATGTCGATTCTCCCTGGATTGGGTCTACAAGTAGAAACCAGCTCTTGTGCATGTTGTGATTGGGACACTGACTTTTAGATTATCTTAATGAGTTGACAGTGCCTCCTTTCAGACCAAGACTGACCATTTAGAAAGCCCTGGATTCCCTAAATTCAAGAGCTGTCTCTTGGTACAAAAGTGCAGATACTTATTGCAGTGAGTAATAAACTCTCTTTGTATCTGTCCCAAGAGTTGCAAAAACTACCAGAATCCTTTAAAATGTGGCAGGCTACCTTGTCCCCTTGTAGGATAAGATGCTTGTGGAATGCACATGCAGAAATGCTTAGAGGAACTATGTTCCTTAGCTTTACAACACTTAGTAAAAAAACAAGACTGGGGAGGGGCCTAAATTTTAAATCAAGGTATAGCAGTTACTATAATAATAGCAGAATTTAATAGGCATGATTAGCAAATCAAAGGCTGACTGTACGAGTCCATTTTCTATTATTACAATAAACATTTAACGTGGGTACTTCGTAAAGAAAATAGGTTTGACTGAGTTTGGAGGCGATCAGTCCAAATGCGGCAGCCCTACGGGCTTGGCTTGGTGAGGGCTTCCTGGTAGATGGTGTCATAAAGGTAGTAGCACATGAAAGAGGGAAAAATCACGGGAAGTCAGAAAGACTCAGGAGTCAGGCAGTCTTTTGTGGTAACTGGCTCTCAAGAAAACTCACTGCAAGCCCAGCATTAGACCCTCCCGAGACCAGTGGCCCTCGATCTAATAACATTGCACCAGGCCCTGCCTCTTAGCATTCTGTTGCCTTCCAGTACCATTTTCTATCACATAAACCTCTGAGAGACGAACTATCCAAACCATTACATTGACTTTGATAAAAATTAAAACAGGGAAACTTGTGTCAAGACCTATAAAGAAAAAAGACAAAAATACTAAGAATAAAATACAAGTATAAATACAGATCTTTAGTATCCTAAGGGAATCTTGGACAACTGTAGAAAAATATCAGAACTGACAGTGTGGCACAAATACTACTAAAGGAATTAAGTTGTTAGTCAAAATCTTGGCACTATCTATAATCCCCAAAAGGTACCATGCACAGACAGTTTTACAAGTGATTCTGCACCACATTTAGCAAATAATCCTTTATGAAAATAGTCACAAGGATAGAAAACAGGAAATACGCTTTTAATAATGTTTACTTGATAACAAAATCTGAGGACAGTACCAAAAAAAAAAACCTGTGGGCAAATATTACTTACACTTGCA